GTTTTCATTACTCTGCAAAACTTTCGTTATTTCGACATTACCCGGTTTGAAGTCATTTAAGTTGCAGGCAACAGTTGCCTGCTTATGGGGGACTTGAGTTCACTCAGGCGGATCATGATTCGCATTTTTGTCTTCTAGAGGTGTCACTAAATCACACGCCTTCTTTACCTGCCTGCAAAAAAAGAACATTATCTTGATTTAAGCTATGTGAGGGAAAAGCATGAAAATAGAGAAGTATTTTCTTATACCTGATCAATTGTATTGGCAAAAAGTTCGTTTAATTCCTTAACCATATCTTTAATCTTGTACACTTTATCATCTCTAGGTCTTTCCATCGTAGCCCTGAAAACACACGCTGATGCATCAAACTTTTTCACGTTTTTTTCAGATATCTTCTACATATTGAAGTATATTGTGTCTCAGGAGACATCAGCAAAACGGTCATCTCTTTTTTTTCAGCAGCTTGAACTTTTGTTCTAGTAGCTTGGCAGATTTTTCCTGCCAACGTAAGACTTTGCGTAAGTCCGATTTTGGCTTAGCCAATTCATTCTGGATTTTTCTTATAAGTCGTTTTGCCTTAGCATTTTTACCTTCAGCACGTTTCTTTAAACGCAGGTCATATGAATCCATATCAAAACAAATTAAGAAACTACAATTGATCAATCTTGGTAAAGCAAACTTGATGTAAAATTGATCCAACCTTGCCCTTTTGTCATAGTACTTTGCCCCTAAAGTGATCGTCATTGCGCAAGTCATGATGTAATAAGCAAGAAATGGTTTGAAATTTTAATTTATACATAGATTATATTGTAAACACATCAAGATTATATGGAATTTAAAAATTTAAAGTTTGTAAATTATGTCATTGGACATCATCTTTTTTTCATCATTCGATGAATTTTTGACAATTATTTTGGAGCGCTTTGATTCTTCCACTTTTGGTACTTTGGTGCTCGACTTTCTTTTGGGCGCTGCTGGTTTTTTAGTTTTTCCAGTTACTTTCAATGATTCGTCAGCCCAATGAAAGAATGAACATTTCTTTTCACTTGCCGTGAAAGTAGGGTCGCCCAGGATTGTTGGTGAAGTTTGATACCCACCGAAATGCAAACACTTGGCACTCGCAAAGTGGAAAACGGTTCGGCTTGAATTCCTTTAGGACATTCTTATCGTGCACGCCTAGAAGCTGCAAGTACTTTTCTTCGGTCGTGAATAAATTACATTTTTCTTTGGCGCACTTTAGGAAGACGCGCCCCTCGTTGCAAGTAAAACGTTTCAGACCACCGTTTTTGCAAAACCATCTGTGCTTCCCAATAGAAACCATTTTTTTCCTCGGTTTTTCTTTTTCTATCTCTGGCTGCAAAACGTTTGTCAAATTAATGCAAATGATCTGCAGTACTTGAGTTTTATGCAATTCTACTTGTATATTTTGTTGATGATTAACGAAGATTTTAATTGTTTCCAACTCAAAAATTTATGATTAGCTAGCTCACAGGCTCTCAGCACACATTTAGAATTATTAGATTAGTTTAGATACAGATAAGTTGAACCGTTTTAACAAAACACAGATGTTTCACCCAAATTATTTAATAACAATATTTAATAACAAAACACAGATGTTTCACCCAAATTATTTAAAGATTTAAAGGAGAGAACTTTTTTGCTTGGTGGTGTATGCCTCGTATTTAGTAGATTTGATTTTTTTCGAAAAGTATATCCTAACAAGTTTGCGTTTAACAAATAGTGCATTTTTTTTAACAAGTGTAACAATTAGGCATTGAATAATCTCCTACAAAGTTGATACAAATGAAATGAGAGGTGTACGAATTGACTACTTTTTGTCAAAAGTCATAGGTGGTTGTGATTTTCTTTACTGTTTACTCCATCTAAGGTTTGTTTTTCTGTCAGTTTAAACTGTTTAAAGATAATTTTGTGTTTGAGTTTAACGATCGCTGTCATCATTCCAATGAACATTTTTTGCTGTGTTAAGCATCATGAATCCGATTATAAATGTCACAATGACTCCATTTTGTCAGCATTTTTCAATTATATGATTAAGGCTTCTTTTAATCATATTTCAGTCAAAAATTTTTCCCATGAAAAATACTAAAATAGTAATATTACAGCTTCATAAATATCCGGGCTCTAGCTGTGCTAGCCGATTATAATTAACTCAGGGATTAAATTTTGTCTGCATTCTTTGATTGTTTGATTAAGGTTATTTTTTTATCACATTTCCATCAAAATCCTTTCTCTCTATTGATGATACGAAAATAAGAATTATTTAACTTTGCAATGCGCGTAACGAGCGTTTTCAATGACAAATATGGAGACTTTCGAATACGATAGCATCAACACTAGAATCCAGGCTACAAACTCTAATGATTTCTACTTATTCTTACCTATTTTGGTGATTTATAATATTCGTGTGGACGGTAAATATGATTTGAAAACGATATGTGTGGATGCAATTTTTTTCAAGGTCTAAGCCTCATAAAAGCGATTATAATTATCTCAAGGACTCTGTTTTTCATTTGTTTGATTAAGGTTTTTTTAAATCAAATTTCCGTCAAAATTCTTTCCCCGAGGAAAATACCAAAATAGTAAACCTAGAGCTTCATAATCCGAGGGTTCTAGCTGTGCATAATGACCATGAAGCCGATTATAATTATCGCAAGGATTAGTTTTTGTCTGTGTTTTTTGATTGTTTAATTAAGGTTATTTTTTATCATATTTCCATCAAAACTCTTTCTCCACACGAATAATGAAAAGTTCTTCTTGCTTGTTTTCACAGTATAATGACAAGTTAAAAAATGCAGAGATAATATTTGTTAAGACTCATAGCTATAATTTTTAAGACAGTTATGATGCATAATATTTTTTCCAAACCAAAACTGACAAATACCTTGAACGTTATTTCACCATTTTAATTGATGGTGCTTGAAATACATTAGGCCTGCAGACATACGAGGCAAATTAATGTTTTAATATTTTAATGCCGTCATTCACTCTGAAACGCACGCATGCCAAGGAAATAATCGATCCATTGGAAAACTACTGCTAACGAAAGAGCATTTGTCAATATTTTGCATGTAAAAGCACTCACGTCAAAGTCTCAGGCAAGTAAACGACGAAGGCATCAGCAAAAAGAATGGCTACACAATCAAACACAATTAGACTGATTTTGAGTAAGTTGAATTGGAATTCTATTTCATTGTTTTATATGACTTTAGAAAATATAAGTTGTGATTTTGTTCATTATTTTAGGTTAGTGTGTATACTGCGAAATGTGGATCATATGCCCACCAAGCTGTAGACATTAAGACCACCTCTCTGAGGTGGGGGAGAGATTTGTGGAGTGTATCAATTTTCTACTGTATGAATGTTCAAATGATAATTCTTTATCTTTTGAAAATTGATACAGTAGAACAGTCAGTTCGATTGATTTCTTTTTATTTCAAAGTGGTTGTTGCTAGTTTTTTTTTAATTAAAAATGTTTTATTTCAATGAAATTTATTTAAGAAAATCAACGTCTCATAATCTAATTTGTTCTTTTTTCTGTCAAAAATATTTTTCTCCAATCATTGCAAGTGTACTTGATAAGTTCTAGCCCATTTACTATCGGAGTTATGTCTTGTAAACTATCTAAGAAGGATTTCATGACTTCTTCCTCATCAATTTCTGATTTTGCATCATCGAAGTATATCGATACCCTTTCATCATTCGGCATCATCAAACATTCATGTCACCTTTGAGATGAGTGATCAACACAACAGCCGTCACAGTCTTTTGCCTTAAGTTCGTATATTTTAAAACCAATTTCAGTAGCAAAACACTTTAACAATTTATTTTGTATATTGCTTTGGCGTTCATCTAAAACATTGCTCTCATCTTCAAATTCGAAGGACGATTCCTTTACTTTCTTTGCTTGCTCAATGTCAACTTTTAAAGCCATTTTTTTTAGTTATACAAAAATTACCAAATAACTTTAACACAGTAAAATTGTAACGTGTTCTCATTTTTTATATCTGCAAAGGAAACAAGATAACAGATCTAATATTGCTTTAAGAAAAGAAAACAATTGACAATTTTAATTAAGTTTTATCGTATTTCAATTAATCATGTCATCCAGTCCAGTAACAACCTTCGTTATTTTAAATCGTTTCCGCTTTACACGCGCGCGCTCTGCTTACTTCCTCGGACTGGAAAATAGTTGACACGAGAAGGAGCTCCGCTTACATCCGGTACCATACCTGCACCACAACTACAAAAGACACCTTCAAAAATGCCGCAACGATTTATAACCAAGCTCTTAAACAAAGCAGTTTCCCCACCCAACTCATCAATGTAAACACTACGTGCAACAGAAACGTAGCGTCACAACCCACCATACAGCAGAAACTTAAAAACACACATCGCCCACGACTTCCTAAAACTTATCGACAAACATTTCCCACCAAATACTATACTCTCCAATATATTCAACCGACACACAATACGCGTAAGCTACAGCTGCGGCGAAAACATGAAAACTTTCATAACCAGACACAACAAGATTATTTTAAAAAGACTTAACCCAGAAACAACTCAGAACAAGAACAACCCCCAAAGAACTGTAACTAGAAACGGAAACACCTATGCCTGACAAATGCAATTGCCTGAAACCCAACGTGATTTACAAAGCCGACGTGACAACGACTGAAAACAACGATACAAAAACTTATATAGGTGTTGTTGCATGCGCTTTTAAGACACGATAAACCACATTAAATCAATCAAATTACGAACATTAAATACCGCAATGAGACAGAATTTTCTAAATACACGTGGACACTGATAGAACACCCGTTTCACCAATTCTAAAACGCTTAAAGCGTCAGTTCTAATTTTTAGAAATGCGTTACGAAGCGTCAATAAAATGTATTTCGCGCATTCTGATGTATGGGATTCACGAATTTATGAAATACTTTATTTAGTCATCTTTATATTCCTGTTCTGTGATCTGGCTATGGCGGAAAACGTTCGACGTTCAGCATCTTATGATATTTTAAATGACGAACAAAAAAAGATCTTGAAGGATTATTATGATCAAGGAATGATTTCAACAGCAGCTAGTATGAGGGATGTCATCCAAGAAGCTGCGAACCAAGCTAATATGACGTTTGAAAGAGTCAAGGTAAACAAAATGCACGAGTTTATATTTTTTACCCGCGCTTTCTTTTTCATTAGCAACGAGTGATCTTCGCCAGTATTTTTTGATTTGATGGGTGTAGTTATTGTTGCTGTAACTGACATTAAATATAGTGTGCATTTTATATCTTCTAATTATACCCTTAACTTATATATTAGACAGTTTACAAGATGTCAGAGATATATAAACAGATATACTTAGGATTTTCCCTTTATTGGGGAGAGCATGGTTTATTCTCTCACTGTACCACAATACCAGTGTGTTTATTTTTAGTATTGCTTGACAATTTAAAATTGCAACGTTTGCTGACGATATTTGTGAAATTTACTCCACTGTTAAAATTTTAACTTGGTCTATTAAACATAAAATTATTATACTTTTATACTCACACTTGTTTTTACTATGTACAATAAAAAACAGTCTTGTTTTTATTTGTATTCAACCCTCTCAAGCTTTTTATCTTTCTCTGTTGTCAGATGTAATATGTATGTACCACTAGTTACTATATCTTTTTGCATTAAATCGATCTGTAGTTTTCTTCAATAATGCAATTTCTCCTTTATAAAAGTAATAAGATCATAGTATTTACGTACATATACTCATTTCATAATATTCATATCATAGTATAGAGGTGCCACAGGTAATACATCTTAAAAAGGGGTGGGAAAACTTGGTAATTTTTCTATTTTTGAGTATGCCTTCAAGACTGTTGATCACAAATTTTTCGTAGTATTCTGAGTTTGTTGGAACTTAAGGACAGGCATTCTGTAACATTCTCACAAATCTTATAATCAGAAATCTATGGTTTTCCCTTGATTTTCACTTAACAATGGTTTTCCAAAAATTAAATGATTAAAATGCGCATTTTCTCTATAACAAATTTTTAATGCCCACTGGTGTTTCCATTTTCCATGAAAGACTTGCCTGGGATTCATGCTATAACAAACAGGGACCTTATCATTTTGCAAATAATAATCCTGAAATGTAGGTAAATTTGAGAATATTACCATTAATTAATTGTTTTTTAGAAATACATAGTTTTCACAGCAAGTGAAATTTTTTGCATGAATAAATGACTGAGCAGACTATGCTGTATTTCATTTTTTGAAAGTTTGAATGACAGAATCTTTGCAGTTTATGGAGACTCAATAATGTTGAATCTACCTTAAATTGTAAATGCTAGAGATGTTTTTCTAATTTCTACTCTCTGCTAGTCGCCCCATTATTATCTATATAATTGCTTTAAAGGTTTAATTGCATTGGGTGCATACCATTGAAGGTGATCAAGGCAAAATATAAATTAATATACCTTAACAAATTTTCTTATTAATTAGGTTAATAGTCCCTAAAAAATTTATCTTGTGCAGGAATAAGTCACATTTTTACTTTTTTGGCTCTCCTAATTTACGAATAATTTGAGAAAGAAGTTTCATATAGATGGTGGTTCTTAGTTACATACTTAATGAATTCTGTTACTGGTGAAATAAGCTCATGCTTATTGCAGAATTTTCTAATGAAATTGTTTGATTGTCTAGTTTGCAAAGAAGCATTTATATTTTTAACATAATAATTTTTTGTTGTTTAGACTAAGTTAGCATATCTTATTCTTCAAATAACTTGAAGGCTTCATGTTAGTACTCTATTTGTTCATACACCATGTAGTGGTGTAGTTGGTGTAGTTGGTTAACCAAGGTTATTTACTAGCTTTGCTAGCTTTTTTATTGTTATTTCTTCTAGAAATGGATTGGGAATAAAAAGCAGTCCAGAAAAAGAAAAGCCAGCTCTCATCAAGATGAGGAGTTAAGACTGTGCCCTTCAAAGCGTAGAACTACAGCATATAATCTTTTTTGCTCACATATGCTGAACTCAGGTTCTGATCTATAAACTGTATGTTTTTTATGGCCTGCACAATAGGTATCATCTTTATCCCACCAAAAGTGCTAAGACAAAACCTGTGCAGTCGTCATTTAAACCCAAAAGAGTATTTTGTTTCTTTCTGTTGTTAAATGCCTTTTGTAAGTATGCATTTTGTAATTTTAGAGGAATGCAAGCAGCTAAGCTCTAATTCTGAGAGGTTGAAGTTAGCTGTAGACCACTGGAACTTGTTAGGGGCAGAGGAACGTGTGATTTGGGCAGAAAGAGCAAAGGCTGTTCAAAGCAATGACATTCATGACTTGACATTTAAGCAGCGCACAAACCAAGTAAAAAAAGGGAAAAAGCAGCTTTTGTCACAGGTACAGCTGTTATTACCCACTGTACATACAGTATGTACAGTATTATGATATAAGAGAATGATTTTTACTTCAATTGTTTGTGCGTAGATTTAGTTGAACATCTCTATAAACATAACGTGATGGTTTGTAAATTTCAATCCATTCTAAAGGAAAGACAATTTACCTAAAGAAAACTTCTACTACAAAAAAATTTGTAAAAGTTGTTATGAATTGTTAGAAGTAGCAAATAAATGCTGAAATTTAGCCAAGTCTACTGGGTTACAGATCCACAAAGTTAGCATTTTGTAACGTTTGCAATTTTACTGTGGAAAATATTAGCATTGATAGACCCGTGTCATGGATGTGAAGGGGGAGTATTTTGTAAGAAATTTTGCAATCCCCATAGCTTTAGATAGATTAGGGTGTACGAGGGGCTCTAATTTCCCCACAAAATAGTAGTATACGTATCATAAAATAAGGCCAAAGCTATTATGATAAGTGTTTAATTAAACACATTGTAGATGTGTTGATTTTTATACTTTTTGTTTACTTAGAGAAAAAATTTGATTTGCTGAAAACTTATGCTGTGTAAATTCAATTAAATTTCTCTTTGCTAGCTTACTTACTTAGAAAGTCTTGGTTGTGAAGCAGTTGTTTTATTCTTGGAGCCTGGTGATTCTTGTCTTCAACAGTTTGGAACAGAAAAAGGAATCAACTTTTTGAATAAAAATGAAAAAATTGGTGTCAATTTCGTTGAGTATTTGGGTAAGTGCTGTACCCACACAGTTATTTTCAGAAACTTGTGGGTCTTGGAATACCAGTGCATTATTTCTCAAGCATTAGTGCTGTTCCAAGAATGTTTATTCAGTTGTGCCCTTCGGTTTCTTTTGAAAGTAAATTGCTTTCAAAAGTAATCACTTGGGCTCAGCTGGATATATGAATAATCCTCTCCCTTCTTTCCATACATTTTACACGGGCTTTATTTCTTTATCAATGTTTTTTTTTATTAAATAGATTCTCCAAAACAGGTTGTCAGAAAGTACCGGGTGTGTGATGTGATAAAACTATTCAACCAGAATTACAGTAAGTGCAAATTGCATTTGAAATGATTTTCCATTTTCTGAGCTTGTGTCATGGTTGATATTTTTTAGTCCATTTTATACACAATTCCTTTTTTGACAATCAAGTTATTTTAAGTCAGCATGAATGTTTTACACCATTGTGAAACATTTCCAAACTTATTAAATCAAATCATGGGAAAGAATGCTGTTTCGTAAAAAATGAACAATGTGCATTACAGTTTACATATTTGGGAAATATCATTTATTGTGTCTGTCCTCATAGTTTTGTACGTATTAAAATCTCTCCCCCCATAAATATGCGCGGGACTTTTTGTTATTGTCATTGATTGTTGCTAGCTACATTTATGTATTACCCATCATTGCAATTTACTTTGAAGGTGAAGCTTGTGGGAAAACGTGCCGAGTACCTTATTTAAAAGGAGGATTTACTGTTACTGGTTTGCCAGAAGGTATTACGTTTAAAAAACCCAGTCAGTATGGTATTAAACAGATTTCCAATATTATGAAAAATGTGCAGAATATTCATTTCAAAATAATCGAATCACCGCAAGTAGAAAATGTTTTGACAGAGAATCGTAAATATTCTGATCAAGAGAGAGAATGTTACCGATCTGTGTTGAAGAAAGTTGTTTTTGAAGAAGCCAAAGTATCAATGTGCTTGATACGTAACAAGCTGATTGAAGAATGCGATTTGGTGGTAACTGATATAGATTTGACAAAGTCAGACCTCGATTTGTTGACTGGGAAACTTAAAAATTTTTTCAAACCTGATGCCTTTGCGACTCTTATTGCCAACTGTAAAAGCAGTCGAACACACGAAGGATACATTCTTCCGGTTTATACTGACTCTGATCAACCTTATTGTCTCTTCTATTATCCTGGTGCAGCTGAAGGCATTGAATCATCGTCTACTGAAGATTAGATTTGGGGATATTGGTTAGACAAGACGAGCTCAGAACTAACTTATAAACTCATTAAAACCAAGAAAACAAACATTATTGGATTAAACCTAATCTGTTACCAGGACAAAGAATTAGGAACTTTAAGGTTGAAAACCAAAATGTTTACATCCCAAATAAGCATACCTTTCGATTTTCACACGTCTGTTCTGGAATGCCTTGCTAAACAGGATTTCCTGTAGTGTGTTAAACTTTTTTTTGTATAGCATGTTCATGTTGTTACCAATAATTGTATGCACCTAAAATATTTGTATTCTTATATTACGCACAAGTGTAGTTTGAATGTTAAGAAATAACTATCGGGGGAAACGAGTAAAAAAATTTCCAAATGTTCTTGTTTACGTTTTGTTGTTTTTCTCACGCTATTTCAACACCACGTCTATTGTCTCCACTATATATTGCCTTTGCTCATTGCATTTATGCCAACTTGTGATTTTGCATGACATTCAGATACCAGACCAAAATACTTAAAAGTTTTGAGGCTCACAAAAGTCTCAAAATTCTCTAATTTTGAATCAATTAATTAAGCCCATTTTCGTTCTTTGCCAATTTTATTTGTGGATTGTTTAATAAAGCTTCGTAGCTACCCCAATGATAAGTAAAGTCATGTGGCATTTGTCAGAAAATGGGTAAAGCACATTGCAGGTTAAAGGATTAACTAAAAAATATAGACATTGTCAATTGTTAACCCATTACCCCTTATACTAGTGTATATCATTTACAAGAAAAGTTTTAGAGATTTGGTAACAGTTTTACAAAGTTATTCTAATGGAAAATCAATCATTTCAAATAAAGTATGCAGTTTTAATCGCTTTAGTAATCTATGTTTTTTTTCAAAATCTGTTTATTCTCCATAAAACGATGGAATGTGCTGTAAAGATGAGTTGCAAATGAATTTGCAAACATGTGAAAGATTGGTAAATGTGTTGAATAAGATTGCAAATAAAGATGAAAAGGAAATTTTGTTTAAAGTTTTGTTTTCATCTACTGAGAAACGCATTATCTTTGAACGTGATTCAGATAATAAGTTAAGTTAGAAAACACAAAAATCATACCAAGTTGTGGATGAAAGTGGAACTGTTTATGTTAATGATGATGATGAGGAGGATGATTGTTTCAAACCCACTGATCTAAATGATATTGCAATGATTGATTGGACGGATGAAATTTACAAAATATATTTAAGAAAAGATGACGATTTAAAAACTATATCACAAAAATTGCGACAATTTGTTGGATTTTGTCGTGATTTATTAAAAAGTAAAGAAGAAAAGAAAAAATCAAAGGAAAGGAAGCTAAAGTAGAAAAAGTAAATAAGAAATGCCAAAAACTGTACCAAGTAAAAAATGACAAAAAGATATTGAAAATAGTAATGACATTTAAGCTATTTATGTATTGAAAGAGTTTTCTAATAAATTGGATATTCCAATATATGATTGCATTGCTTATCATAGTGAATTTATGAATGAAATTTTAGAGGAAAAAATTGGAAAGAAATATGATTTTATAGAACTTTATAAAAAATATGGAAATGATAAAATTGAAAGAACATATAATGATATATTTTTTTTTCAAAGCTTGATTTTCATCATCTTCCAACGTTTGTGAATGATGATGAGGAGGAGAACGAAGAAGAAAACTAATAATTTAATAAATTAATTAACAATGACTTTATAAAAAGAGCTGCAAGATTATTAAAAGGTGAACATTTAGAAGATAATAAACAAAATATACATAATTTGTATCAAAAAAATATAATCGTTTAAATATAAATGTATGAAAAAAAATTATTTATGGACTATTAATTTAGCTGAAACAAAAGATTTGGCAAGATATAATGATAATTTATGTTATTTGTTATGTGTAGTTGATGTTTATTCAAGATATGGTTTTGTTCAGTTATTGCAAAATAAATCTAGTAAAAATGTTATGGAAAAATTTGAAGATATTGTATTGAAAGAAAATGAATTTCCTAAAGAAAGTCCTTCAATCCAATCTTCCAAAGACTTTAGTGTTGCATTATACTTGGCTATTGTAGTTTTAATGGAATTTGTTCTCTGCGTTATTTGTTTGGAAAGTTTAACGGCTATTGCTTGGCCATCTGAAACGCAAGATAACGCTCGGTTCAATAAATACAAGTTAAAGTCATATAGCATTCATAATTTTACTTAAGCAGTATACCACCAATACAGTTTCTATAAAAACTACTATTCAATGGGGTTTTTTCCATAATTCCAATTCGAAATATTAAAAGTATTAAATGACACTCACTTAAAAGGACTGGGCAAGTACGCACGCACTAAAGTGAAAGACGTTTGAAATGCTTAGCAGTATATTTAAATGTTACATTAAGGAAGAATACCTGCATATTTAATCTTTAAGGATACAAGGAACATCCTTTCAACTGCTAAAGAAAATGCTGACTCAATAACAGAGTGTTACGAACGTCCCGACTAATAATAAAATGGCCGCTTTTGGTTCAATTGCTCGTAACAAAAGGAGTAAAACCTTGTGGAGAAGTTGTTGTCAATTCTTAAGATATTTATTTAATATACTAATAATTTGATATAATCGTTATAATATAAATGTTTAAATGTTCAAACTTATCTAAGACAACTGCTTTCAGACTTTCAGTGACTCTTTCGTTGATGGATAGGATATATATCTGGATTCTTTGGTTATCTTCGTAAATAGTTCGTTTTCTTTTACATGAGGCTTTCTTCCGATGTGGACTTCTACTAAGCACCAACATCACTACAGCTTTCGATTCTCGGCTTATATGTGATTGCACAATGACGTACGATTAACCGCTTTTGCGTAAAACTGTGGTCAGTTGATTACCCATGTCCTGTACGTTGTCTGTGGTCAGTAGGTTGACCACGTCCTATACGTAAGCTTTTCCTGTTATTGTGGTTAACATACACATGCATGTATAAGTAAGGCATTTTACAAAGAGCACTAATAATATATTTAAGTATATAACAATAATAACTATAATTTACATGATTATGTATTATCATGTAACAAGACTCATTCCGTTTCAGCTCCAGCGACAAAGCTGCCGTATTAAATTCTCTCTCCCCAGGTTTCCATCTCTTCGCCACTTTCTTTCTTCTCTCAATGTTTTCAACCTGTTTCGTTACTCTAAAAAAATACATCAAAACAAATTTAAACGATAATATTATAACGAAACGACTATTGGTTTAAGGAGATTGAAATTCTTCTCAACACTTATTCACGAGGTTTTATCAGCGATAAAAAAATGCACAATCCATATAGTTAAAGGCTTGCCTTACTTCTTAGTCTTTTTTACAATATCCGCAAAGTGACCATGATCAACTTCCTGAATACAAGCAATCTGCATTCTATAACGAAAAAATGTCATCTGATAGTAATGATTAATTACTTCAGTATTACATACACAAAGCCATATACTACAAAATAAACAGTGACGACATTACGCATTTATCTCAGCAACCTATTGAGCAAAACTACAGAATCGCATTTGTAAAAATATTTATTCATGCACTTGATAAACTTTATATATCAAAATTGTATACCTACAGTACCTCAGTTGGTAAAGTTGCAATAAACTTTCCACGTATTTTTGTTGCCATGTTAACGGAAGTGCCCGTTTTGCTACAAGAAATAATCAAGTCATCCAATAAAAATTATGAGCCAACAAGTTGATGGAAAGGCACATTACATACAATTCTTCTCGTTAATTAGTTGTTCTTCTTCCTTCATCCACGTGTCTAATAAATCAGAGTCATACAGAACATCTAGCTTGGAAAATAAGTCTTGTATTTGTGATTGCGTGTTAGTAATAAGTTCAGGACATCTTTTAAGTTTAGCAGCTAATGAAGATCCTAAAAAAAATCAACAACTTCCAGCACTAAATAAATTAATATACAAAAAACAGAAGGGGAGGGGGGAGGGGTTACTAGTTTACAAAACGTTGACTGATCAAACAGTTGTGTGTACATTACTAAAGTGATTATATCAGGGTCTGGGACAGGATTTCTTTAAATAGTTAAATCAATTTTAAGAGCCCTTGCAAAAGATCAAAACACACGTGCATTGAAGATATAGCATTTTCTATACCGGTTTCAAGTAAACAAAAAACGTTTACACAGTACAAGTTTTGGGACGCTATTTTCTTCTAAAAGTCTATAATATTGTACGGTGTTGATACTTTTTGAAGCGATCGTGTTGTCCTATATATGTCAATTCCAGCTTTCAATCACCTACTTGTTGGCCAAAAAACCCCATCAAGATAAAATTTTTGTCTATCAAATACACGTATTGCAAATGTTCTCAAAATCAACTTGACTATTAAAAGAAGTTATTTCCCTGAGCCTAACACGTGTACTTTCAGTAAACACACCAACCAAACTGTTCAAGTCGACGAGAAGAATAGTGCAGTAAAGCATCTGTCAGAATATCAAGACGGCGACCAGAGCTCATCTCCTTGGTCATGCCGGAAAATCCCCGAAGAAATGACCATAGTCTTTCCACTCCTTCCCCATCAGTTAATCCATATCCTTTTTTTCTTCTTGGGTTAAATTGTATCTACACGACAACAAATAAGTTGCTATTAGCTGCTTATAACTATTACTATTAAGACCGAACATTATTTTTCGTACCCAATAAATATTGTTCACGTGGATGCAATGATAGCAAAAACATTTTGAGTACGTACAGAACAGTCTCTTTTAAATCTATCATAAGATGTATTGATATCATCAGAGAAATAAAATTAATAAAATGTACAAACCTGACACAAGGACTTATGACCATAGCAGTGGAAGACAGGAATAGAATAATCGGCTCTCTTCACAAAATCATGCTTTCCATTTTTCTGGAAAAGAACAGAAGATGTCAATACAATTTTACTTGGTTTTATTACGGTTTAATGAACTCTACTGCACAAAGTCATTATAAGCAAACAAAATAAACTATTAATGCTTTAAAAAACCAACCATTAGGTGTGCCTTCAAAGTACATGCAATGTCATACATGATTTTTATTGTTGTGTTTTCGTTGGAGTTAGAGAGCTGGTGTTTGACGCTAAAAACTGAATAACCAATCCTAAAAAAAGAAGCAAATACTGCAGCTAGGACATTACATGATTTTGGTAAAACCTCTTAATATTGGAGACACAGCAACATTCAACAGAAGTTTCACGAAGGTCATTAGCGTGTTCAATTGAAATTTGAAATATAGTTTCAAAAGGCGAAGTGCAATGGGCTAGTAGCCCAGGGCTAACTGCTACAATCAAATTAACATAACACGTTTGTATCATTTTGGGGAATGACTAAAGCTATACAACAGAAAGAGCCTGCCACTTGCAAAGATTTTAAACGGTACACAAAAGATCACTTCATTGCATGATGAAAGTATGTCATGACTGTTACCAGACTTTCTACTTTTTATTAACAGACAACTCTAATGGGGTTAGACAATCTTGCATGCTATAAATCATTGCAATATTTGAAACAAAGATGGGGTGGGAGGATGGGGTGGGGCTAGTATGTTCACATGAAAGCAGGTTTGTAATAAATGATGCTTAGATAGCCAGACTATAAGCTGTAGGTCATTGTGGTACGGTCATGGTAAGTGGATAACGATTGCCTTAAACATTAAAGAAAATATGTTAATGACTTCAAAAATTACCTTTCTCCATGTTTGATATTCATAAATCCTTTTGGGTAATCATGCCGGCAGACACAACCAAAAACACCTTTCTCATCGAATAATTTGTTTCTACCTTTTGATCGAATCATGTCATTTACTTCACCTGCCTTAAACTCATGACAATCCTTAACAATAAAAGGCTTCGTAATATTCATAAGTACATAAAATAGCAAACTCGAGTGAAGACAATTTCTGAAATTCAACCACATTTCCAAATACTTACAGTTTTAGCTTGTTCAGCACTTGAAGTGTAGTTATCAACAAATGAATCAACTTCTTCTTGATTGTGGAACAAAATGGAATTATGCCTTGACAAGAACTGAACTTTCCCTGAAGTCTTTTTTCTCACAAGACCAAAATAAGCATCCATTGATTCAATCAGAGTACCAGCTTCATCAGGCTATCAATGGATGAATTGAATAACAATGATGCTTTTAGAATGAAGACATTAACAACTTCCCTACAACTGTTTTTAAATATTGTGTTTAATGGCTAAATGTGTACAACTCCGCAGAACAAATGTCTATTAAATTTTTAGAATAAGAAAGCTAGCTTTGAACAAATTGCAAGAGATGCACAATTATAAATTTCGTACTTTGGGACAAAGAGGGCACAAATATCCCCCTGGGACATGTTGGTTTACAAGCGGGTAACCATTTCTCAACAAATGCCGATGATACCTGCGAAATAAAGAAACCACTAAAAATTCAAACATGCACTATTACCAGAGCAATCATGAGACTTCAAGATCACATCCCTCAGTCTTTCTACGGTACGTTTCGCATCTAAGTTTACACAATAATTATAGTTTATGAAACTAATTTATATTACAAACCGAAACTCATCAAATGAGTTGCTGTTCAGTGTTGAATACATGTTCTTAATCTATAATGAAATAAAACAATTACAACAATATGAAATAATTGCTTGCACAACAAGAGCAGGAGCAGGGTGAAATATTTAATCTTTTGTAATGTGCCTTTCTATGAAAGATTAAGGTTACAGTTCAAGAAAACCAAGTTTTTCTATGTTTCAGGCAGGTAACTAGTAATTGTTACAAACTTTTAACAAGCTGTTGCACTGCGCCGGGGTATCTATATCATGGGCAGCTGTGGAAACAGGATTTTTTTTTGGGGGGGGGAGAGATGGGGAAACACTCCCAAAATGTCCCTTAAACATAAAATGCACTGTTTGATATCACACACCTTTTCAAGATCTATAAATAAAGACCAATGTGGGAGAAATATTGGGAGGGGGGCAGTACCCCCTTGTTGGCAACACAGAATGAAGGTACACATGTATTTCTTTTTACACAGTTGAAATGAATACTTACCCACAATGGTAAAGAGGAGCACTTTGTCCATATTTTTAGAGCATCGCAGAATTTTCGAAGTGAAACATGACATTCAAGAAGTAAGGTTTCAGCCAACTCCATCATCTTAAAATGAAAAGCTAAAGAGGGACGAGTAGCACTGCCAGGCCAAAGTTTCAATCTTATTAACGTTATTGAATCTTTTTCACACTCAAAAAACAGAATTTGTTTCTGATGTTGCCGGCCTATTTGAAAAAATACACTGCAAGTTCTGGTTATCATCATCATCAGCATCATAATGAAACATACTAAGATCACAAAGAAAGAGGGTAGGTAGTAATTAAACATGAACTTTGCAATAAAATTTAGAATTTACCATGAAGCTAGTATTTAAAGAAGAAATATTGATTTAAAAAAATGAGCATGCAAAGACCTTATGTATCAACAAAATGCTAAGGTTGATAAATTATCAATCATTAAGTGACTATATCTAAGCTAGTAAACAAACCATATTGGTCAATGCAAATGACATTTCTTGCTTGAGCACTATGGCAAGATTTCTGATGCCTTGCTGCAAGAATACTATGATTGGGAAAGTAAGGTAATGTATACCCATCCTAAAAACATAATGCAAGCTATGTTTCAATAGCAGTTCATACAAATGTATGAAACAATGACCATGATGACATGAATTGAAATCAACGTTTGATCACTAAACTTATACACCACAAAACGTCATCATAACTGAATTTATCTTTATTCTTTCCATCCATACCTTAAACCGTTCAAGCACATGGAAGTAGTTGCTTGTTTCGTGAGTGCTGTCAGCACAACCTTTGCAAAAATATTTTTCGTGTGCGCATTCGTTACAACGAAATTCTACCCCAATCACACCACATTCAGAGCCTTTTTCTTCGTTAAGAAAAACTTCTTCTACAATTCTTCCGTTTAACAAAGACTCTCGTATGGTTTGCCAGCCTTGAAATTCCTTTTCCCGTCTGTTCTGATAGTTTGTTGCATAAGTATGCTCTTCATCACAGTAACCTTCACCTTCATCAAACTCATACAAATTATGTCGTTCTATCGCACTAGAAGAGACGTTTGTTGACTTTAATTCATTTGAAATATGATTTGAAGCTTTCAGAGCAATATTCTTCGTGATTTTTTTGCCACTCGTAGAGATAGATCGAACGCGAAGTTTGCAAGATTTGAATCGCTTTGAGGGGCGAGTAGCCATTTTGAACCAAATGTACGGAGCTGCACGGAGCTACACATTATCTAAAGGAACTGGAACCTAGTGTAACATATCTTGTAGAATGCGCGGAATACATTTTATTGACGCTTCGTAACGCAATTCTAAAAATTAGAACTAACGCTTTAATCGTTTTAGAATTGGTGAAACGGGTGGCAAACAAAACATTTTGTTGTTCCGAACACATGAACTTGAGATATGTGTCTGAGCAATAAAAAAAATGCAACATAACCAAAATAAAGAAAGTATATTATAAGTGATTTCGTAATATATATGTTGTATACTGCATAGTAATTATAAAAGAATTTGATGTGTGAATGAAGAATGTGTGATTGTGGCGTGCCAAATGTCCTTGTTATGTTTCGCCACTTAAATGCGAATACAAGTTAACGTTTATTTACGCAATCTTGTAGGAAGTTCTAGCTATTCGCCAAAAAAACAAACTACATAGTCGTTTTGAAATTTTAAAAATTCCTGAATTTTTGAAACGCCAACGTTTGATACCAATCTTTCTTGAAACTAATTTTATTTTCCTTAACTAGGAAGAATTTTTCTTAGAAAAATTTGCACTTTGCTTGGATCCCTATTTTTATCACTGTTGCTTCAAACTAACGAGTGCAATTTGTCATTTCAATATTAATATATAATTTTAAAAGGTGGTATCTGAGGTGCAGTGTTTGCCTTCTTATGTTATGCCATTTGTTGAGTTATGAGTCTTTTTTTCAATTTTTCAGCTTTTTGTTTTTTATCCTCTTTATATTGTAAATGGGCAGTCATGTCCAACATTCACAGCTGTTTGCAGTGCACACGACGTCTTTAATTAGTTGTAAAATATTGCTAGTTGAATGTTGTACTACTACTGTTTTAAAATCGTTTTAAAGATCGAAAATACCATGGCGAATGCTAAAAGTAATAATGTAATGGCTCTTAAAAGAATTGTTTTAAGTAGAGAGCACTAACCCAATGCTTCTAAAAGAAATGTTGTCAAATTAAACGACACAATGAATGGATTGCCCAAAATCCACAAAGAGGGCGCTCCTCATGAGTTAGCTAATTAACTGTCAGTTGTACTTTTACCAGTTTTAGAGAAATTCTCAATACACGCTTGAAAGGACTCACTTAATTTTAATCGTGTGACCAAACAGCAGAAGATAAGAAATGTGAACCTAGTTGGCTAAATATGGCACGGTGAACCATTTCGTGTGTTTTTCGCCAAACGAGATATATAATTGATTTCGGTGATCACTTGATTAAAGTATCTATTGTATCACGTTGTTTAAGCGGCATAACTATTCGGATTCCAGACATTTAAAATCAAGTAAAAAGTTACAGAAGTTCCGAAATGCTCTAACTTATTGTGATTATGCACTCTCCCTCATTCCGTAAACCCTCCGGAATTGTTAACAGACAGACAGACACAAATTGAGATTTCACCAGTATAAAGGTCGCGAGGGAATAGGTCGAGTTATATCAAGAATAGTGTGATGGCACGATGATGCGTGACAGCAACAATGAATTACGACGAATTATGTCGTAGTAAAACCATCCTTAACAAAACATCGCACTCAAATTGATCACAGCTACGTGTTTTTGACGTCACAACAATATTTTCGCGCTAAAATGACGTACTTCGTACTCGAATTCATGCCAGTAAACTCAATATTTAGAAAATTTGAATAATATCTGAACCCTAAAATTGAAGCCAGAAAAATAGTGGTCTTCGCCATTCGTCCTCACTCGTATTTCTCGCGCGCTCGTAAACAGTTTGCATTTTTTCTGATCTTAGATCTTTAATTTGACCTTAGTTAATTTGATTTTACTAGTCTGCTTAATCTTTATGAAGAAAATCTTTTGAACAATATTTTTTTAAATTTTAAGTTATCTAAAGTACGAAAGTGTTAATAAGTTTTTCAAAGAAATAAAAAGGATTTGTTACTATGAATTTTTTCACACAAAATTTACATATAGAATGAAAACATCTTATATCTACGAAATAGTTTTCCCATACATCGTCAATATGCTCTTAAGCTGTGGTTTTCCTCTAAAACATATTAAAATATTTAAGGATATTTAATTATTGATATGTAGATGACAACCATTTATTAATTTAAGCACAATCAAATTGATGAAAATTACAAATATATTTGTTGTTACAAATTCTTTAAAAAAATGTAAGTTGAAGACTCAATACTTTTATGAAACTGGACGTTTAAGGGTTTTTTTCTTGCGTTTGCTTGAACTTTGAAAAAAAGATCTTTAAATCCACTGAAATTACAAAAAAGACAAACACTGTCGACCACCGCTTGAAAATTTCCTTCGATAAAAGAAAAATTTTTGGGTACATACATTCTTATCATACTTTTTTATTGTATAGTCTTTTCAGCAGACAGTGTAATTTTCCTTCTTATTACAAGTTGTAAAAGTTACAATTACAAGTTGTAAAAGTTAAAACAAACTCAATGGAGTAAAGTGTCAACTACAAAAAAATTCTTTACGTAGTGTTGGCCTTTAAATGTTGTTTGTCAAGACGTTGTTTACTTGTTTATGCTTTTGCAATTTGTATTCAAATTCATTGTTGCCGTGTACGTTTGAGATTCAGGGGAATGAAACTGAAGTACAAACCCCTTCATTATTCTACTTTGAAGGGCTGGAACTGACGTACAAACCACGCAAGAGATTGGGACTTAGGTTTCAATTTTGTATCTATAAAATGTATTGTCGTTTTCATTCCAAATGTCTATTTCTATGCATATTACACGCGTGTCTGGAGGTCAAATATGCCTTCAAAAATTTGTGTTCGGCATATACAACCATGGCAGTAAAAACATTTTATTAGAGAGACATTGTTCGTGTAAGTTTAAAAGAGTGATAAGAATTCAAACAGTATTAAATTGTCTAGAAGAATGTGGTAGAAATGTAAACTATGCTAGTTTTCGGCATAGACCACCATGATCGTTAAAACGTTTTATTAGAAAGACAATGTTAGTTTAAGTTTAAAAGAGTGACGAGAATTCTAGCAATATTAAAGTATCTAGGAGAATGTGGTAGAAATATAAAGTATGCCTGTTTTCGGAATATATATCCATGGTTGTAATAACATTTTATTCGAGACATTGTTAGTTAAGATTAAAAGATTAATGAAAATTCTAACAAAATTAAAGTGTCTAGAAGAATGTTGTAGAAGTATAATATATGCAGGTTTTCAGCATATGCAACCATGGCCGTAAAAACGTTTTATTAGACAGACATTCTTAGTTTAAGTTTGAAAGACTGATAAGAATTTTAACAGTATTAAAATGTCTCAAAAATGTGGTAGAAATCTAAACTAAGTCAGTTTTCGGCATATACAACCAAGGCAGTGAAACGTTTTATTGTAGAGAAATTGTTAGTTTAAGTTTAAAAAAGTGATAAGGATTCTAACAGTTTTGAAAAGTCTAGAAGAATGTGGTAAAATAATAAAATATGCCAGTGTTTACAACATATATCGATGGTTGCAAAAACATTTTATTAGAGAGACATTCTTAGTTTAAGATTAGGAGAGTGATAAGAATTTAAACAGTATTAAAGTGTCTTAAAGATTGTGGTAGAAATCTAAACTATGCTAGATTTTGACATATGCACTCATTGTCGTAAATACGTTTTATTAGAGAGACATTGTTAGTTTAAGTTTAAAACAGTTGTAAGAATTCAAACAGTATTAAAGGGTCTTGAGGAATGTGGATAAAATCAAACTATGCTAGTTTTTGGCATATACAGCCATGATCGTAAAAACGTTTTATTAGTAAGACATTGTTAGTTTCATTTTAAAAGACTGATGAGAATTTAAACAGTATTAAATTTTCTAGAAGAATATGGTAGAAATATAAAGTATGCCAGTTTTTGGCATATATATCCATGGTCGTAAAAACGTTTAATTGAAAAGACACTGTTAGTTTAAGTTTATAGAGCAATGAGAATTCTAACAATATTAATATGTTAAGGATGACAGAAGAATCAAGCATGCTAAGAAAAGGCCAGAAGAACTCGCAAGAGACGTAGGACTTTCATTAGAAGAAGGAAATTTTCTCATACGTCTGTTCATGTTATGGATGACATCCAGGTTGTACAATTTATTAACTTCTAAAATATCTTTGAGCTGATAACATAAAAGTACAGAAAACGTATTTAACTCATTTTTTTGCGAAAGCTTTACATGTCTAATTTACAAGCACTTTATCATTTTTATATGAACAACTCCATATGTTGAATACTCAAAGGGTATTACTCAAAGGGTAACACTCAAGCAATCAACAAATCCATATTTTGAATACATTAATTTCAGCTACCCTACCCCTTGCACCACTAGCAAAGTATTCACGACCACCCATATTTCCCTATACATCCCTCAATCTACCTTTAACCTTTACACCATCAAACTTCTTTGTAACTGTCTCACCATTATCTGCAACTCCATGCCTCGTTTCCGCAACTTCTACCCTAGTTTCAGCTTCCTCTTTCAATCATTCTTTACGACTAATCACTGATCTCAGCTTCCTGTTCTCTTCCAGCCACCGACCATCTGCCTGCAATTTTACAACCGATACTCGACCTAGATCTGAGAATTTTTAAAACCAGTAATGACGGAGTTTTTAAGTGGGACAATGGTTTCTAATTAATCCATTTAGGCCAGGAGTTGCCTTCATTGAGCCCCATACTTGGTTTTTAAAAATCCTTTGGCTTCTTTGCATTAAAGTAAATAAAATAGTTTGAACCCGGGAGTATCGCGACATGTTTGTAAATGTAGATCGTCCAGGTTGGTATAGTCCTGAGAAGGACTGTTTTTGTTGTTGTTGACTGACATTTCAACAACCTTAGAGGTTGTCATTTTTTTGTATTGTAGCTAAGACACATCCAGTCCTTAAACCAACTCAAGGACAGGCCCAATAAGGATCTGTTTCATTCTAGCCATCTTGATATTTGCCTACGCAGCACCTTTGTCAACCACATTTACAAAAAAGGTACAAAAATGCTCAAACGTATATTTCTTTCACTTTAGTGCGTGCATACTTGCCCAGTCCTTTTAAGTGAGTGTCATTTAATACTTTTAATATTTCGAATTGGAATTATGAAAAAAACCCCATTGAATAGTAGTTTTTATAGAAACTGTATTGGTGGTATACTGCTTAAGTAAAATTATGAATGCTATATGACTTTAACTTATATTTATTGAACCGAGCGTTATCTTGCGTTTCAGATGGCCAAGCAATAGCCGTTAAACTTTCCAAACAAATAACGCAGAGAACAAATTCCATTAAAACTACAATAGCCAAGTATAATGCATCACTAAAGTCTTTGGAAGATTGGATTGAAGGACTACCTAGAAAAATTGAATTTGACGAAGCAAAAGATCCAAGGTCGCAACTTTATTGTGATTTTAACTTTCAAACAAATAAAGATACAGTACCGTTCACTGCTAAACGTTCTGCTATTGAGTTGCATAACTTTTTTGAAAGATGCAAAGAGGAACAAGAGATGTTAGAAATGGAAACAGAAAAACCAGTACACTATTACTTGGACAAGAAACAAGAACTGGAGTCCTATATCAATGTAAATGGGGAAGTTCAGAGCAAAATCGTGAGAGGAACTGTAGCAAATTTTAAGAAAGATTTAATTAACATAAATAATGCACTGTATTCACTGAAACATATGTTAAATGACTATTTAACAGAAGCTAGTAAGAGTAAATTACCATTCTTCAAGATAGAAGCAGAGCATGCATTATCTATTTTGCGTCCAACAAACATAATTGAGGATACATTAGAGATTGAAACCAGTTCAGTTGATAGCGAGACTGACTGCGAATCACTGCTTCAATTTTCAGATTTTGAATCGGACACCGAGTTAGAATAATTCCATATACACACGTGTATATATATATATAATTATAAGTTATTAATAGTGAACGCTTTCGCTTTATGCAAAGCTCACCTTTATGGGTTTGAGCGCTCTGGGGACTCTACAAAACAATCCATACAATGTGTAACCGTACATCCTGTGTCCCAAGTGCAGCATTCACCATTTTACTAGGGTGATAGCCGGAGGTCACATTGTTATACACTTTATATATATATATAGGAAGTTTATATTTCTCTTTTACAACATATTCTAATAATTGTTTTTATAATAAAGAATTAAGTGCAGTATCAGTTAAAAAAATTCCTTTTTTTCAGTGATAGAATTAAATTTATATTTTATATAATTATAATATGCATTACAATATTCATTCTATTACCCTCTAATACATCTCCATTGTATTTATACAAATTATTTTTACTTTCTTCATTGAAATTCATGAGTCTCTTCAAATTTTAAGTCCAGAAGTATATCTAGTTCTTTGTAAGTAATTAGTTATTATCTGAATCATCATACTCCAATTCAAATATTGTATATTTTGAAAATAGAATCAAAGGAGCTTTTTCATATTTCATTATTTGTATTGATTGTATATTAAAATTAACACTAGCATCTAGTTTAGATAATCCACCATTTAAATTAAAAAAGTTTTTCATGTAATAATAAAAAAGATGAAATATTATTTGGTTTGCTATCGGAATTTCTTATACTGTTTGGTAAACAATTTTGCACATTAGTTACTTCACCAAGTTCTTGGATTTTTGTACATTTCCACTTGTAAAATGAGTAAATTATATGGAAGTGCTGAATAAATATTTAATTTAATACTACTCCTTTTTTGAGGTTTTTTGGTTTTAAACTCTTTATTCAATATAAAATATTATTTTTATTAATTCCTGTTAAATTAAATGGATATAATATATCCATCTGTGGAATAAAAAGTTTCGAGATAAAGTATCACTTTGTTGCGGTAATTTAATAGGTCGTAATTTAATTTCCATTTTTTAATCAATTTGACATTCCAACGTTATATTTATAGAATCAAATGGTATAATTGCCTTGATGATGCAATACTTTTATAGTTAAATTCTTAATAAATGAAGAAATTAATTGTTTTTTTATAATTGAAGGATTGTACACAAATAAATTGTCTCCACTTTCATTTGCATAATGTAAAGGAACAATACATAACAATTCCCTTTTTAAATCACCAACAATTTCTCTATCAATTTTGTCACAATATATAAACATTTTATTGATTCCAGCTGTCTCATCAGGAAGATATGGACAATGAAATAATTTTTTTTTTACAAATTCACGTTTCTTAGAATCAAATCCAGACTCAAATGTATATTTTATTACTTCTTTGTCTAACCCCAACATAAAACTTAATTTTTTTGAAAAATTTAATTTAATTTCAATTGTATCATTTCCTGAAGCATAATCAGTATATTGTATTTTGCTTAGTATAGGTTTTATCCATATATAATTTTTAACATCATATTTTTACCCTGATTAGAATAAGATTTTTTTCCTTGAACATAGTAACAAGTATATCCATTTGTTAAAATCATATTTGTTTACTATTTCTATTCTTAAAAAAATATTATAATCATTTAAATAATCATTCAAAAGCGATATAATTTTTTTATTGTTATATGTTCCCAATGGTATTTTAATTCTTGGTAAATTAAACTTTAAAATTGGATATAAACTTATATCAATATTTTTAGTAGTAACATCCGTTTGAATAAAATATTTCGAAAATTTTAATTCTAAATCACACCAGAATTCATCTTCATTAATGTTTTTGCTGTTTTCGGATAAAAAACGTTTAACACTGTTATGTATTTTTTATTATTTAATGCATCAATTTGACCAGGTAATGTTGTAGCAAACTGATTAATATAGTTTTTTTTTAACAATTTTTATTATTAACTTTACTAATTAATGTAATATTTTTCATTTTGAAACCTTTTATAATTCATCACAATAAAGTTTCCCTTGAATTTCTTCATCGTTGTTATCACAAAGCTTTTAAGTAACAAGATCCGTCAACAAAACTTTATTTATATAAAAAGTCTCATTAACCCACTGTCTTAAACTTTCCTTTTCAAAAAGATTATTTTTAATTCTTGAAATTTGCACTTTATCATTTTTCTTTAATATACTTAAATTTTTATCTCTTTTTTTGTTCATAATATTAGATAATCTTTTGATGTAATTTTTTTTCCATCTAAATAAACATCATATGGTGAAAGATTGTCAGAAAGTAATCCACGATAAGGATTCTCGTTATATCTTTCCACAATTAAATGTAAGTATTTTCATAAGTAAATGTTTTTTCCGTTTCTTGTTTGAAACAAGTCAATAGTTTTCCAATCATCTGTTTTATTGTTTGTATAAATCTATCAGCATGAGTAGCTATAATTTTATAAATTATAAGTATTATAATTTGTAAAATTATATTTTTTTGACAATTCTTTTCGAATCCCTTGAAATTCAGTTCCCTCGTGTGATATTATTTCTTTAGGAAATTCATTTTCTTTCAATACAATATCTTCAAATTTTTCCATAACATTTTTACTAGATTTATTTTGCAATAACTGAACAAAACCATATCTTGAATAAACATCAACTACACATAACAAATAACATAAATTATCATTATATCTTGCCAAATCTTTTGTTTCAGCTAAATTAATAGTCCATAAATAATTTTTTTTCATACATTTATATTTAAACGATTATATTTTTTTGATACAAATTATGTATATTTTGTTTATTATCTTCTAAATGTTCACCTTTTAATAATCTTGCAGCTCTTTTTATAAAGTCATTGTTAATTAAATTATTAAATTATTAGTTTTCTTCTTCGTTCTCCTCCTCATCATCATTCACAAACGTTGGAGGATGATGAAAATCAACTTTGAAAAAAATATATCATTATATGTTCTTTCAATTTTATCATTTCCATATTTTTTATAAAATTCTATAAAATCATATTTCTTTCCAATTTTTTCCTCTAAAATTTCATTCATAAATTCACTATGATAAGCAATGCAATCATATATTGGAATATCCAATTTATTAGAAAACTCTTTCAATACATAAATAGCTTAAATGTCATTACTATTTTCAATATCTTTTTGTCATTTTTTACTTGGTACAGTTTTTGGCATTTCTTATTTACTTTTTCTACTTTAGCTTCCTTTCCTTTGATTTTTTCTTTTCTTCTTTACTTTTTAATAAATCACGACAAAATCCAACAAATTGTCGCAATTTTTGTGATATAGTTTTTAAATCGTCATCTTTTCTTAAATATATTTTGTAAATTTCATCCGTCCAATCAATCATTGCAATATCATTTAGATCAGTGGGTTTGAAACAATCATCCTCCTCATCATCATCATTAACATAAACAGTTCCACTTTCATCCACAACTTGGTATGATTTTTGTGTTTTCTAACTTAACTTATTATCTGAATCACGTTCAAAGATAATGCGTTTCTCAGTAGATGAAAACAAAACTTTAAATAAAATTTCCTTTTCATCTTTATTTGCAATCTTATTCAACACATTTACCAATCTTTCACATGTTTGCAAATTCATTTGCAACTCATCTTTACAGCACATTCCATCGTTTTATGGAGAATAAACAGATTTTGAAAAAAAACATAGATTACTAAAGCGATTAAAACTGCATACTTTATTTGAAATGATTGCTTTTCCATTAGAATAACTTTGTAAAACTGTTACCAAATCTCTAAAACTTTTCTTGTAAATGATATACACTAGTATAAGGGGTAATGGGTTAACAATTGACAATGTCTATATTTTTTAGTTAATCCTTTAACCTGCAATGTGCTTTACCCATTTTCTGACAAATGCCACATGACTTTACTTATCATTGGGGTAGCTACGAAGCTTTATTAAACAATCCACAAATAAAATTGGCAAAGAACGAAAATGGGCTTAATTAATTGATTCAAAATTAGAGATTTTTGAGACTTTTGTGAGCCTCAAAACTTTTAAGTATTTTGGTCTGGTACCTGAATGTCATGCAAAATCACAAGTTGGCATAAATTCAATGAGCAAAGGCAATATATAGTGGAGACAATAGACGTGGTGTTGAAATAGCGTGAGAAAAACAACAAAACGTAAACAAGAACATTTGGAAATTTTTTTACTCGTTTCCCCCGATAGTTATTTCTTAACATTCAAACTACACTTGTGCGTAATATAAGAATACAAATATTTTAGGTGCATACAATAATTGGTAACAACATGAACATGCTATACAAAAAAAGTTTAACACACTACAGGAAATCCTGTTTAGCAAGGCATTCCAGAACAGACGTGTGAAAATCGAAAGGTATGCTTATTTGGGATGTAAACATTTTGGTTTTCAACCTTAAAGTTCCTAATTCTTTGTCCTGGTAACAGATTAGGTTTAATCCAATAATGTTTGTTTTCTTGGTTTTAATGAGTTTATAAGTTAGTTCTGAGCTCGTCGTCTTGTCTAACCAATATCCCCAAATCTAATCTTCAGTAGACGATGATTCAATGCCTTCAGCTGCACCAGGATAATAGAAGAGACAATAAGGTTGATCAGAGTCAGTATAAACCGGAAGAATGTATCCTTCGTGTGTTCGACTGCTTTTACAGTTGGCAATAAGAGTCGCAAAGGCATCAGGTTTGAAAAAATTTTTAAGTTTCCCAGTCAACAAATCGAGGTCTGACTTTGTCAAATCTATATCAGTTACCACCAAATCGCATTCTTCAATCAGCTTGTTACGTATCAAGCACATTGATACTTTGGCTTCTTCAAAAACAACTTTCTTCAACACAGATCGGTAACATTCTCTCTCTTGATCAGAATATTTACGATTCTCTGTCAAAACATTTTCTACTTGCGGTGATTCGATTATTTTGAAATGAATATTCTGCACATTTTTCATAATATTGGAAATCTGTTTAATACCATACTGACTGGGTTTTTTAAACGTAATACCTTCTGGCAAACCAGTAACAGTAAATCCTCCTTTTAAATAAGGTACTCGGCACGTTTTCCCACAAGCTTCACCTTCAAAGTAAATTGCAATGATGGGTAATACATAAATGTAGCTAGCAACAATCAATGACAATAACAAAAGTCCCGCATATTTATGGGGAGAGATTTTAATACGTACAAAACTATGAGGACAGACACAATAAATGATATTTCCTAAATATGTAAACTGTAATGCACATTGTTCATTTTTACGAAACAGCATTCTTTCCCATGATTTGATTTAATAAGTTTGGAAATGTTTCACAATGGTGTAAAACATTCATGCTGACTTAAAATAACTTGATTGTCAAAAAGGAATTGTGTATAAAATGGACTAAAAATATCAACCATGACACAAGCTCAGAAAATGGAAAATCATTTCAAATGCAATTTGCACTTACTGTAATTCTGGTTGAATAGTTTTATCACATCACACACCCGTACTTTCTGACAACCTGTTTTGGAGAATCTATTTAATAAAAAAACATTGATAAAGAAATAAAGCCCGTGTAAAATGTATGGAAAGAAGGAGGAGATTATTCATATATCCAGCTGAGCCCAAGTGATTACTTTTGAAAGCAATTTACTTTCAAAAGAAATCCGAAGGGCACAACTGAATAAACATTCTTGGAACAGCACTAATGCTTGAGAAATAATGCACTGGTATTCCAAGACCCACAAGTTTCTGAAAATAACTGTGTGGGTACAGCACTTACCCAAATACTCAACGAAATTGACACCAATTTTTCATTTTATTCAAAAGTTGATTCCTTTTTCTGTTCCAAACTGTTGAAGACAAGAATCACCAGGCTCCAAGAATAAAACAACTGCTTCACAACCAAGACTTTCTAAGTAAGTAAGCTAGCAAAGAGAAATTTAATTGAATTTACACAGCATAAGTTTTCAGCAAATCAAATTTTTCTCTAAGTAAACAAAAGTATAAAATCAACACATCTACAATGTGTTTAATTAAACACTTATCATAATAGCTTTGGCCTTATTTTATGATACGTATACTACTATTTTGTGGGGAAATTAGAGCCCTCGTACACCCTAATCTATCTAAAGCTATGGGGATTGCAAAATTTCTTACAAAATACTCCCCTTCACATCCATGACACTGGTCTATCAATGCTAATATTTTCCACAGTAAAATTGCAAACGTTACAAAATGCTAACTTTGTGGATCTGTAACCCAGTAGACTTGGCTAAATTTCAGCATTTATTTGCTACTTCTAACAATTCATAACAACTTTTACAAATTTTTTTGTAGTAGAAGTTTTCTTTAGGTAAATTGTCTTTCCTTTAGAATGGATTGAAATTTACAAACCATCACGTTATGTTTATAGAGATGTTCAACTAAATCTACGCACAAACAATTGAAGTAAAAATCATTCTCTTATATCATAATACTGTACATACTGTATGTACAGTGGGTAATAACAGCTGTACCTGTGACAAAAGCTGCTTTTTCCCTTTTTTTACTTGGTTTGTGCGCTGCTTAAATGTCAAGTCATGAATGTCATTGCTTTGAACAGCCTTTGCTCTTTCTGCCCAAATCACACGTTCCTCTGCCCCTAACAAGTTCCAGTGGTCTACAGCTAACTTCAACCTCTCAGAATTAGAGCTTAGCTGCTTGCATTCCTCTAAAATTACAAAATGCATACTTACAAAAGGCATTTAACAACAGAAAGAAACAAAATACTCTTTTGGGTTTAAATGACGACTGCACAGGTTTTGTCTTAGCACTTTTGGTGGGATAAAGATGATACCTATTGTGCAGGCCATAAAAAACATACAGTTTATAGATCAGAACCTGAGTTCAGCATATGTGAGCAAAAAAGATTATATGCTGTAGTTCTACGCTTTGAAGGGCACAGTCTTAACTCCTCATCTTGATGAGAGCTGGCTTTTCTTTTTCTGGACTGCTTTTTATTCCCAATCCATTTCTAGAAGAAATAACAATAAAAAAGCTAGCAAAGCTAGTAAATAACCTTGTTAACCAACTACACCAACTACACCACTACATGGTGTATGAACAAATAGAGTACTAACATGAAGCCTTCAAGTTATTTGAAGAATAAGATATGCTAACTTAGTCTAAACAACAAAAATTATTACGTTAAAAAATATAAATGCTTCTTTGCAAACTAGACAATCAAACAATTTCATTAGAAAATTCTGCAATAAGCATGAGCTTATTTCACCAGTAACAGAATTCATTAAGTATGTAACTAAGAACCACCATCTATATGAAACTTCTTTCTCAAATTATTCGTAAATTAGGAGAGCCAAAAAAGTAAAAATGTGACTTATTCCTGCACAAGATAAATTTTTTAGGGACTATTAACCTAATTAATAAGAAAATTTGTTAAGGTATATTAATTTATATTTTGCCTTGATCACCTTCAATGGTATGCACCCAATGCAATTAAACCTTTAAAGCAATTATATAGATAATAATGGGGCGACTAGCAGAGAGTAGAAATTAGAAAAACATCTCTAGCATTTACAATTTAAGGTAGATTCAACATTATTGAGTCTCCATAAACTGCAAAGATTCTGTCATTCGCAAACTTTCAAAAACATGCAATGAATACAGCATAGTCTGCTCAGTCATTTATTCATGCAACGCAAAATTTCACTTGCTGTGAAAACTATGTATTTCTAAAAAACAATTAATTAATGGTAATATTCTCAAATTTACCTACATTTCAGGATTATTATTTGCAAAATGATAAGGTCCCTGTTTGTTATAGCATGAATCCCAGGCAAGTCTTTCATGGAAAATGGAAACACCAGTGGGCATTAAAAATTTGTTATAGAGAAAATGCGCATTTTAATCATTTAATTTTTGGAAAACCATTGTTAAGTGAAAATCAAGGGAAAACCATAGATTTCTGATTATAAGATTTGTGAGAATGTTACAGAATGCCTGTCCTTAAGTTCCAACAAACTCAGAATACTACGAAAAATTTGTGATCAACAGTCTTGAAGGCATACTCAAAATAGAAAAATTACCAAGTTTTCCCACCCCTTTAAGATGTATTACCTGTGGCACCTCTATACTATGATATGAATATTATGAAATGAGTATATGTACGTAAATACTATGATCTTATTACTTTTATAAAGGAGAAATTGCATTATTGAAGAAAACTACAGATCGATTTAATGCAAAAAGATATAGTAACTAGTGGTACATACATATTACATCTGACAACAGAGAAAGATAAAAAGCTTGAGAGGGTTGAATACAAATAAAAACAAGACTGTTTTTTATTGTACATAGTAAAAACAAGTGTGAGTATAAAAATATAATAATTTTATGTTTAATAGACCAAGTTAAAATTTTAACAGTGGAGTAAATTTCACAAATATCGTCAGCAAACGTTGCAATTTTCAATTGTCAAGCAATACTAAAAATAAACACACTGGTATTGTGGTACAGTGAGAGAATAAACAATGCTCTCCCCAATAAAGGGAAAATCCTAAGTATATCTGTTTATATATCTCTGACATCTTGTAAACTGTCTAATATATAAGTTAAGGGTATAATTAGAAGATATAAAATGCACACTATATTTAATGTCAGTTACAGCAACAATAACTACACCCATCAAATCAAAAAATACTGGCGAAGATCACTCGTTGCTAATGAAAAAGAAAGCGCGGGTAAAAAATATAAACTCGTGCATTTTGTTTACCTTGACTCTTTCAAACGTCATATTAGCTTGGTTCGCAGCTTCTTGGATGACATCCCTCATACTAGCTGCTGTTGAAATCATTCCTTGATCATAATAATCCTTCAAGATCTTTTTTTGTTCGTCATTTAAAATATCATAAGATGCTGAACGTCGAACGTTTTCCGCCATGGCCAGATCACAGAACAGGAATATAAAGATGACTAAATAAAGTATTTCATAAATTCGTGAATCCCATACATCAGAATGCGCGAAATACATTTTATTGACGCTTCGTAACGCGGTTAACTATTTTCCACCCAGCAAACCGCCCTTTACTTTACACAATCGGAAATAAATTAAAGATGCCGGCTAATGGGAAAGAACCAAAAGCTAAAAGGAAACCATGCATGCACTGGTGCTAGGTCGTTTTGAGATGGCGAGTAATTTTATCTTTTTATAATACAGTTTTTAATATCAACATATGAAAATATTTAGAGATAAATGTTGCAGTATAAATTTTCATGCAACCACCTTAAGTTATAAACTTATAATCCAGGCTGGAAAATGTCGTTTTTCGACGATTGTGTAAAATATTATATAAAATATTATATTGTGTAAAATATTAGATTGCGTAAAATATTATATTGTGTAAAATATTATATTTCAAAGTAAAGGGCGGTTTGCTGGGTGGAAAATAGTGCTAACCTCGTAACGCATTTCTAAAAATTAGAACTGACGCTTTAAGCGTTTTAGAAATGGTGAAACGGGTGTGTTTGCGTTATTATTAGCGCTGATATCCACCTAATTAAATTGTAAGGGACCGAATAGTAAAACGCAACGATATTCGATAAGTATTTACGTCGTACAATTTACATCAGTTGATGAACAAGTCCAGTTTTTGGCAAGTTTTCGTGAATGAGCATTTATTTCCAATTTGCACTTTTATAGCGAGTACATAAAAATCGACAAAGCCATACAGTCGTACATGACTGACTGACTGACTGACTGACTGATTCACTGACTGATTCACTGACTAATTCACTGACTGACTACTGACTCTTGTGAATTTTCGCTACTCACCACAATACTACAAAGTTCCCATGGAAACTTTGCACTAGTAATTCATACAAAATGCATTTCTCATCTTATCGAGTCAAAAAAGAGCAACGTAGAATAATACTAGTCTGAGTAATATTTGAAATAAATAAAGTCAAATCGAAAGGAAATGTAGCTTTCAGATTTAACTCGTACCAAATAATGTCATACATACTAAATTACAAGTCGCTAAAACTGAAATTTCTCTATGTTGATTGTGTTGTTTTTGTTTCTCTATTCCTATGTGCCTGCTCTGTTCTCTTCGCAGCATTTGGACAATGAAAAAGCGACTTTAACAATTGTAATGGAATTTGCAGATTACCGGTGTTTGTACAAAACACTCTGAACAGCTAGCATTTTCAGCAAAAGGCAAAATGTCAAAGTAAAAGTCATCAATTAACCCCAGAAATTGCCATGAATGCCTGCACCAGGCGCGGATGCAGCTCCTTAGCTGAGCGATGCATTGCGAGCGCCGAAGGCGCGAGCCACCGCTAGGGGGGTCTGGGGGCATGCTCCCCCAGAAAATTTTTGAATTTTCACTATCCGAGAAGCATTTTCCAGCGATTTGGGAAAGGTGACAGAAAAATCTTAAGCGTAAATTTTATCGAAAAAATAACATGAGCCGTCTTTTGTTAGATAACAGCATTGATAAAAGCAATGTTCAAAGGTGGTCTTCTTCCAACGGTAAAAAAGATGAAAAGTTTAATGAAAGCAATGTTCAAAGATGGTCTTCTTCTAACGGCAGCAAAGATGACAACAATTATAAAAGCAATGTTGAAAGATCGTCTTCTTCCAACCACAGCAAAGATGAAATGTTTAAGAAAATCAATGTTTAAACGTGGTCTTCGTCCTCTCAATAACGGCTGAAAACAAGATAACTCTCAAAGAAAATGTAGGTTGTTTATCAGCATTAAGAATTTCTCATGGAGCTCATCGTCAAGCATCTGTTTCTTTATCCTCCAGGATATCAAGAAATTGCATCCTCGTTGGGTTTTGTCTAGCAAAGGTATTAATCACTTCTTCGACATCACACTTAATATCATCATTAATATGCATTTGGGCTAATCCATTTAACCTTTCGTTGATCATTGTGCAACGTAACCAAGTTTTCATTCGACGAAGGGCAGAAACGGATCTTTCACACTCACATTTTTAATGTAATCCATACAACACATAAACTAAAATGCAACTAAAATCGCACCTACCCCTGCATATTACAGTTTGTATTATATTACATATGAATACAAGTATAAGTGCTGCATAAGTAATATGACATCGTGTATATTTTATGATGATTGTTCGTCGTTATCTACACGACTACACTCTGAGTCTGAAATGAGTACACTATTTACATTTAAAACATGCAAGCATAAAGGTAAATTTACTTACTTTAAAGCTCTTAGTTCTCCACTTTGCCAATGAACTGTCAAGTGCTTAGGTATTAACATTTCACTTGACATATCTCTCCCATTTTACCCTTTGAAAAGGATTCCAAGGAGAGGATTTTGAAATAAAAGTAGCAGCTCTCGTTTCATAGGTTCGACGCACTCCATTAATATCAAATGACTTCTCTTCTCGAAGCAGAGTACACAGATCGTGTTTGATATTCTCGACAGCCATGACTTCGATCGATGATTGCGAGTTATATCAAGTGATCAAATAACAATGCATTCAACTTTGAAGTTCAAAGTTGAATGCATCGGTGCCATGTGCCCACAATCACAAAATTATGGAAAATGCATCGCTCAGCGGCAAAATCTACCGTGACGTGAGGCCCTAAAACAATGGTTTTGCTGATGTCACAGTAGATTTCACGCGGAAAAGGACTCGGGACCGATGCATCGCAAATCTACTGTGACGTGGCGATGCCTCTTCCATCTACCGTGACGTGCTGGCAGAATACTATTAAATTACTTACTAATTATGTATTCACGACAAAATTTCGCTAAATTTTATCGACTTTTCTTTCGCTATTTGTGTCATGGAATACGACAAAATTATCGGAGAACACAAATGTTATTTCTAGAACAAATTTTAGCTTAAAACTGCTAAATCTATAAGTTAACTAAACAATATATCACTGTCAAATGTGCGTTTTAAATAATTCGAAAATAATATTTGCTGTTTATTTCATTAAAATGCAAACTCGCAGATTTTAATATCTAAATATTTTGACCGATGCATTCGCATCGGTTGCATCGGTCTAGATCCGCCCCTGGCCTGCACCATTTGGCTCAAACACACGAACGTTTTCAACATTTAGCAGTGAAAAATAGAAATATAGACCAAGAAGCAAGTGCAAGTAATGTTAATTTTGAGTTAGCACTATTTTTGACATGCATAACACAAGAAACTCGTCATCCGAGTGAGCAACTTCAGTAAGCTTTGTTGTTAGCCATTGTTTACCAAGTGTAGTGAATGATCTTTCGCCCCGACGCTACCTAATTGGTTGAGGGTAAGACTCTCCTTGCTTTGATTGGCTAAGACGTAAAAACACAACATTATTTCACCTTTCTCTGATCATAAATTCTAAATAAAATAATCGATTTTTTTCTTTAATGTGCAAGTTATACGATTGACGTACATGTTAAAGTTGATAAGTACTACAACAGCAACAAGATGATTAAGAAATTTTTTTGGTTCCTCGATGGCACATGAAAAAATCACAATTTTCCAAGTTGGCCCATGGCGTGATATATGAACTTGTGAATTTAATTCCTCAATGTACAAAACGCCCACGGACCCCTGTTCCTCATGAATGATAAAGATTTAAATTTTTTTATTTTATTTCAAATTAAATTTGAAATGAGAGAAAGAAGGAAATAGCGAAGAGTTAATATTGCCCTAAGTATCACGACTTTTTGTCAATATCCTATAGTATACGCCACTGTCATCCGCTAGGTAATGGAGAGAGCAACCTTAGATTGTTAAATCCGGCATTCCATATTTTAGATATCTGGCTAATACCCATTTAGAACAAGCAAAACAGATGCAGGTCACTAGGACGGCACTTTTTCAGTGAAGCATAGTGGTTACCACAAACGCAGCGGCGACCCACAAAATATAAATGGAGAGTGAAAATCCGGGTGGGCTGAAAAATTTTTATTTTGCGAGCCAATGCACGCGTGTCCGCTAACATTTTTACCCACAATTTTCCATATTTGGTATGACGGCATCCATGTTTTTGATACCCGCCGCACGTTAATAAAATATAGTATTTTGGATGTGAATGTCCCGTCCAGGTAATTAGTATTCAGGTCAGTGGCTGCCAGCATGGGCCGCGACAACAACAATGATATGAACGAGTTTGACAGGGCAAATAAAAGTCAAGATTCTATCCAACGAGCGAAAACATCAACAATTTATTTCACAAGGTAATGCTCTGAAAAATATTATGAAGATAATCTCGAGAACGTTTGTTAATGCATTATTTTTGTATTTGCAATTGTACGGTGGCCCGTATGTGCCACAGCTTCTGCGAAGAAACATGTAGCTGTTCCATACAAATCAAGTTTCTCCGTACAAACCCGAGTGTTCTCCGTATGAATATAATGTTGCGCCATGGAAAACGAACTGCTCCACACAAATGTTAACCTTCTGCTTGTTGAAATGCTACTTCCCCACACTTAAAGAAAGGTTGCTAAGAGCAAATAATCCCTTCTCCATGCTGAAATTATCTTTATCTATACAAATAAACATACCGAACACTCTCTTACCCCTTTGCAAAAATAATACACGTGCACACACTCAACGTCGGGGGGTGGGGGTGGTGTAACTGCACCTAACTATTGATCTTTAATTTGTCAACTGACTGTAGTTTGGCGATAACGGTTACCAGTTAAGAAATAAAAGATGCATAAATGACCAGCTATAATGATCAATTGCGAAAATTGCCTAAACATATGTCGAGACAAAACAGATTTTGCGATGAATGTGGACATCAGCTTGTGCAGCTTGTAGGTTTGTACAAATCGTAATAATTTTAATCATTTGAATATTACTATTTAATGTTTACGTTTCAACTAAATGATAGATGTTCTTTATTAGTTTTATACATATATATAAAACAAATTTCACATTATTGTATTGTCTATGAACAATTTATGGTTACTATCACTTTATTTTGTTGAATGTTTTGAATTGAATAAAATTTAAATATTATGTATTTCTTAATTTTCCAGCTGCAAACCAACCTGTTGTAGATCAGACAAGAGAAGCCATTACTTTTTACTTCAACTGTGGCTATACCTATGATGTTATACTTGACTTCTTGACAATACATCATGGAGTATCTATGAGTCTTAGAACACTCAATAGAGTATAATCTGAAGGGAAAGAATGTATCTGTTGATGAAGCATTTGTAAGAGAACTGGTTAAAATGGAGATGGCAAATGCAGGAGAACAGTCAGGATACAGGACCATTTGGCATGCTTTAAGGATAATATATAATCTACATGCACCCCGAGAAATGGTTTGCAGAATTTTGTATGAACTTAACCCTGCAGCAAGTGAAGCAAGATAAGCAAAAAAGTTGAAAAGAATATATTTGTCACCTGGACCAAATCACTGCTGGCATGCAGATGGTAAGAGAAAAATTTGTGTTAAGGAATATATAACAGTATAAATACAAATAGAAATTATTGTCTAAGATAGCTTTGAAGCAGTACATATCTATTTTTATTTGTGAAAGGTTATAACAAGTTTAAGCCCTTTGGCTTCCCTGTGCATGGTGCATGTGATGGATACAGTCGGAAAGTACTATGGTTAGAAGTTGTAAAATCCAACAAGTCGCCAGCTGCTCCTGCATGGTTATATCTTGAGTTTTTTAAGCAGTTAAATGGTTGCTCAGCTTTCCTCAGAACATATTGTGGACCTGAAAACGGAACAATGGCAGCAATGCAGTGTTTTTTTAGAGCTAATTGCGATGATAAATATTGTGCAGAAAAAAGCACATCAGTATGGTGTATCTACTGAAAATCAACGAATTGAAAACTGGTGGTCTCATTTGCGAAAGATGAGAACCCATTGGTGGATAAATTTCTTTAAAGATATGTGTAACTCTGATGTGCTAACTATGAGCATTCACCTTGAAAGGGAATGTCTTCGGTTTTGTTTTCATGCTGTACTGAATGATGACTTTCAGAAAGTTAAAACCAGCTGGAACTCACATCTTAACCGCCCATCAAGGCATGGTAGTGTTTCTGGACAGCCAGATGTACTATTTTATTTTCCAGAATGTTTTGGAGGTATAAACAATTTGCACAGAGTGTCAGAAGCTCAAATTGCTAAGATTGAACTGAAAGTTGATGATGAAAATCAGACCTATGAAGAAGATTATCAGCAATATTTTCATCATTTAATGGAAACTGAAGGCACTCAATATCCCAAAAGCCCAGAAGAACCTTTCAATTTATTTCAAAATCTAATGGATGTAGCCTCATAATAATGTATCATTGCACAGCACAAATAACATAAATGTACTACATCTTATATTTGTGAATGTGCGTACAATAGGTTTTGTAATAGTTGAACTGTTCTAGCGTACCACTTCTAAATTCTTCCAAATCCAGCACACACATCATTGCTGAACTCATCACACAATTAAATTCCCCTTCCTGGTAGTGTACAGGTAAAGTTAAGCTAAGGTCGCATGTTGAAGTAACAGGTCTACATTTATACCCATCTTGGCAGCCATGCTTGAATTTAACAATGATTTTGTTGGGAAAACCTAAAGGAGGTACACTCCTTGATCCGGTTATGAATTGCAGTAGTGCAGGTAATGAAAATTGATCCTCACCTGTAAGAAAAGATAACAACAGTTTATGAAATCACAGAAAATGCTTAGGATTGATTTGCTTGTACTTGAAGTATTTTAGACAGTGATTGACAACATTACCTGTCTCTTTACTTTTTTCCTCCACATAATCATGAAAATATTTAAAGATGTCAATTTCCTGCTGTTTGTAATTGGAACCATCCTCACTGAATTCTCCTTTGATGTCTTCAAGAAATTCTTCTGGTGTCGATGAGAAACAACCACTCTGCACAAAGACAGGTTCTAAAAAGTCTGGGAATTCTTTTATTAAATCATATGCACCAAAGCAGCAAAGGCCATCGATAATTTGGTTTAACATAGCATCAACTTACTGAACTCAAACACAACAATAGATCTAAAATAAACAGCAACACTACTAGAAAATATACATATATCAGACAAGAAACATTGTCTATTGAAAACAACAACATTGGAACAATTGTTACCAGCAGCCATACTATATATGTTACTTAGTAGCACATTTAGACTATGTACATATGTTGCTAGAACTATTCAGATAGCTAAAAAACAAAATATCTTATAATAGAATCTCTCGAAGATAATTTCTCTCGGGTTAGTACCCCTCTGTAACCAATCTTGCCCAAAATTTCGGAAACATCTGTCATCAATGCTGACTGGAATGAATCGTCATCATCAAAACTTTTTAACTGGATTAATTCAAAAACATACATGTTTGGAAATGTAAAAAGTACATAGGTATAACTGTAAAGGACTCAAATGGATACAGATATCGTATACCTTTTCAATGACATCTTTCAGATGCAGATCTTCCACAACATCGTCTGCAATGTCAGCAGTCACATTGTCAACGCCTTTTGCAATGCCTTTCGGATTTCTGCTACACACGCTATTTAAAACTTACTAGTAAATAGTTTCTTTCCACAACTCGGACAAAAGTTTGACTTATCTTCAACATGTTCACCGCATTGTATACACAACTTCTGGTTTCATTCCCTTGTTGCTCGTGGTGGTGTAGTAGGATTTGCTTTGAGTTCAGTTACCCCTCCCCGACGTTGAGTGTGTGCACGTGTGTTATTTTTGCCAGGGGGTAAAAGAGTTTTCGTTATGTTTATTTGTATAGAGAAAGATAATTTCAGCGTGGAGAAGGAATTATTTGCTCTTAGCAACCTTTCTTTAAGTGTGGAGAAGTAGCATTTCAACAAGCAGAAGGCTAACATTTGCGTGGAGCAGCTCGTTTTCCATGGAGCAACATTATACTCGTACGAAGAACACTCGGGTTTGTACGGAAAAACTTGATTTGTATGGACAACTACATATTTCTACACAGAAGCTGTGGCACATACGGGCCACCGTACAATTGGCTGCATAACTATCTTGCACAGATATAAACCAAACAACAAATGGTCATGGAGAATACCAAAATCAGTCTTACAGAGACTGAAGATACAGTATGAAACTTTAAAGAGATCAATTTGGAGACATCGTTTCAAAGTATTCAACTTCACTTGGTGACAAATTACCCCATAATCTTTCTACCACCATGGTCGCGGAATCAAAGTGAGAATAATCTAAGTCACTTAAAAGAAAGACAGGAAGAAATCCATGAATCTCTTCAAATAAATTTGAATCACCCTCTCGTCAAGATGTGCACGTCTTTGTCAATCAAGGATCTGCTGAAAAGCGCTTAAACGAGTTAGAGTTAAGAAATAAGCACATCGTTATCTATGTAAAGTTATTCTAAATCTATTGGCATCCAAATTTAGGAATACAATCCGTACAACAAATAAAAGTGCACGACTCACCATTACATAAAAGGAGTTTACAAAAAGTTAAATCAAAATTTTATAGACAATCATGCGTTTGACACATTGTTTTTTTAGTTGGTATACCGCAAGCTAGCAAAGCTCTTTACTTTTCTAGTTAATGAAATCCTCAAATGACAACTTCATTTTAAAATTAAATTTTCTCTACTGGGAATTAAATAGAATACAATCATTCTCAAGCACAAGATTACAAGTTTGTAAAAGGTCCCAATCTTGCTGTTTTCGCATCCATTGGAAATTAAATTATATATATTTAAAAGTGATAAAGCAATTATCCATCATTAGGAAAGCGTAGGTTATACTTATGATGTACGCAATATGTATCCAGTATGTATATTCTACAAGAGAGGATGCAAGGTTTGGGGATAATGCAGTTGAAAATTCCGTACCTTTACTTCAAGTTGTAAACATATTTCGCTTACGATATATGGATTATAAGTAAAACCGGTTTCCACTTTTTCCTACGCACGATAGGCAAGTTTCTTTTACTTAACAACAATATTTTTTTTCACCATTACACGAGTTGTACCAAATAAATCTTGAAATATTGGTTGATATTTTTCATGACTACTACACTTTAGAGACATGGTTTATAAGATGCACATGCTCTGTTGTCAATAGAAATATGTCATTAGCGTTGTGTAAAATCCTGATTCATAGGTAATGTGTGTTTGTCTGTGTATCCCCAAGTATAATACTAATAAATATAAGCAATGGAAAATGCTGCTTCCCCCTCTCTTGTCAGTAAAAATTCCCATGTATAGTCGGACACCCTTATTCTACGACTTCGTGTGCAGTACATTACAGTGATTTCGTGTTCTAGGATATGTTGCAAATGAGCTTGGATAAAATATTTCAAGACAAGTTTCGTCACCTTCCTATGTTTTGATTCCGTGTTAAAAAGTTCAGCTTTTTTCCATGTTTACAGCTTTCTTCAATCTAATCTACGTGTCAAATGCGAATGATATTATGTACTGCTGACCTTATATGGGATGAGTGCTGTTGTGCTCGGTAGAAACGAAGTCGTGTGCTTGGAAACCGATGCCAACGGTTAAATTCCGGAATAATATCTCCCACGCTTTTTATCCAGTCTTTATATGTTATTAACTTAATTCATTTTAGAAATTTTAAAGATGAATTTATTGTCATTTTGTCGCCTATATCTTTTAATAACATTGTAATTGGACCTTGTTGCCTAATCTAGGCCAAATCTAATTAAATGATATTTAATCTTTGATCGGAGTCATCGCATATAGCAAATATTTCGCTTTTTAGCACATATTTACCGTTTGGTCCACAGTAATAAAACATAAACATCGGCTAGGTAACACAAGTAAATTTTATATGTTAACCCTGATAAAACAAAATCCCTTATACGCGGCAGAAAAGTTGCTAGTGCAGTAGAAAGGCCAAAGGCATCCGGTTAAAGTTCGTGTAGACAACTCGATGTTGAAGTGCAATTTTGTGGCGGTCGTTCTCGTCCACAACAATTTGCCAATGTCTGCTTTTCAAATCCAAAATTGTAATCTACTTAAAAGCGCCCAGCGTGACAAAAAAAATATCAATGGGGAGTAAGGGGTGCACATTACCAACAATGATAGAATTAAAGGGGTAGTCTGACCTTAACACAACTTTCGCTCATATGAAAGTGTATATTGTTCTTACCTCTCTCACGAAATCCTAGGTTTCCAATTCAAATTTAACTCGAGAAATAATGCCTTAAATGTGTGTATTTTTGCCTCTTGTTCGATCGCCATTGTGTACATGCAAGCGAAGCCGCAGTCCAGCAGCGGTTTTTCGTCGTGACGTCACTGCGCGGTGATCGTTGTCAACATAAGACAAAATATACTAGCAAAAGTAGAAATTACGCATAAGCATATTCATCGTTGCATTTTATTTTCTAAGTTTTTAAATTATTTTGCGCAATAGATACGGATTACTCAAACGATTCCTCTAGTAATTATTCTGGAAGCAGTGTTTCAAACTACGAAGAAATGATTAACGATCAAAACATGATTCAACCATATGCTTATGAGCCGATTGAAACAGACTCTAGCGACGAGCCTATGGACGACTCCGACGAAGTTCAGCTGTTGTAAGAATGAATGAAGACACAGCACAATTTGAGGGAATAGATACTCCGGACTGTATTACAGATAATCCTGTTTTTCGAAATCTTTGTTTAAATTATTGGGTATTACGACTGGCATGGAGTGAGTACAAACAACACTATGGTTCAAGAGCTGAAGAAGGACCTGAACACGAAAGACAAAGACATGTGGCTTACAGGCAACTGGTTCGATGGTGTTGGAATGTATTGGACAAGGAAATTAGAGTACCACTACCATCTTTTGCTGTTAGCTACATTCGAGCACATTTCCAACCACCAGGTCTAGAAGAGGACTTTGTCTTTGAGGGTTTTAAATTCGCTGATGAATAATGGTAATGTAAACTATTATAGCCATATTTATAAGTATCGTTAATGATGAATTATTAATAAATAAAAATATAAATTGGATTTAGTAAATGAACAATAAATACAAATTATAATGGCCAAGCCAAAACAATTCTTTATTTGTGCTATGCAAGGATTTTGGTGTACATAATTAAAAAGTGCCTTTGCAAATGAATTTGCATAGCAAAACAAAAAATTGTGCTACTTTACTATTAGAGAGTCTCTTATTATTAATTATAAATATTGATATATACATAACTATTTTTTGGGGACTGTTTACCCATTCTTGATTTGTGTGCTTGTAAAACACTTTCTTTGTTTGGCTTTTCTATAGATGCAATATTTCTTGGAATGTTTGCTGGTAAAGAAATCTTGTTATGTACATTTTTACATTAAAACAGCAGACATCTTCCATCATACCTTGCACAAAAGAATATGACTTACTCACCATAATTGGCTTGGCTACCCAATTTTCTCGCCCTTTTGGGAACACGATATTATATCACTTTTCCCCTTGCTGCTTTCCACATTGAACTTGTGCTTGTTTTCTGCCAGTGTTTACATTGTGGTCTATCACTGCCAACTTGGTTCTTGCAAGCATACCTTTATACGAAAAGCACTTTTAATAAAGTATTTTCCCTCCTTCCTCTTGTGCTTATCATGTTCCCAAAAGGGCGAAAAAATTGGGTAGCCAATTATGGTGAGTTAGTCATATTCTTTTGTGCAAGGTATGATGGAAGATGTCTGCTGTTTTAATGTAAAAATGTACATAACAAGATTTCTTTACCAGCAAACATTCCAAGAAATATTGCATCTATAGAAAAGCCAAACAAAGAAAGTGTTTTACAAGCACACAAATCAAGAATGGGTAAACAGTCCCCAAAAAATAGTTATGTATATATCAATATTTATAATTAATAATAAGAGACTCTCTAATAGTAAAGTAGCACAATTTTTTGTTTTGCTATGCAAATTCATTTGCAAAGGCACTTTTTAATTATGTACACCAAAATCCTTGCATAGCACAAATAAAGAATTGTTTTGGCTTGGCCATTATAATTTGTATTTATTGTTCATTTACTAAATCCAATTTATATTTTTATTTATTAGTAATTCATCATTAACGATACTTATAAATATGGCTATAATAGTTTACATTACCATTATTCATCAGCGAATTTAAAACCCTCAAAGACAAAGTCCTCTTCTAGACCCGGTGGTTGGAAATGTGCTCGAATGTAGCTAACAGCAAAAGATGGTAGTGGTACTCTAATTTCCTTGCCCAATACATTCCAACTCCATCGAACCAGTTGCCTGTAAGCCACATGTCTTTGTCTTTTGTGTTCAGGTCCTTCTTCAGCTCTTGAACCATAGTGTTGTTTGTACTCACTCCATGCCAGTCGTAATACCCAATAATTTAAACAAAGATTTCGAAAAACAGGATTATCTGTAATACAGTCCGGAGTATCTATTCCCTCAAATTGTGCTGAGTCTTCATTTATTGTTACAACAGCTGAACTTCGTCGGAGTCGTCCATAGGCTCGTCGCTAGAGTCTGTTTCAAGCGGCTCATAAGCATATGGTTGAATCATGTTTTGATCGTTAATCATTTCTTCGTATCCATTGCGCAAAATAATTTAAAAACTTAGAAAATAAAATGCAACGATGAATATGGTTATGCGTAACTTCTACTTTTGCTAGTATATTTTGTCTTATGTTGACAACGATCACCGTGCAGTGACGTCACGACGAAAAATCGCTGCTGGACTGCGGCTTCGCTTGCATGTACACAATGGCGATCGAAAAATACACACATTTAAGGCAGTATTTCTCGAGTTAAATTTGAATTGGAAACCTAGGATTTCGCGAGAGAGGTAAGAACAATATATACTTTCATATGAGCGAAAGTTGTGTTAAGGTCAGACTACCCCTTTAAATTTGCTGTAGTCAACACGAAAATCTAAGCTCACTGCTGTTTTCTCAACTGAAATAATGGAAGTTGACTATGCAATAGTAATTCTCCAAGTTGTTTATCCACGACCAATTCGATTGGGTGTGAAGACATACCAAAAACGCGTAAAGGTACAAAGTGTTTGTTGTCCTGGTGAAGCAATACACAAGCTAAACTAAACCCCTGTCTCGTGTCATTGCAGACGCCAGAAATTGGCTCACTCATACCTAGTTGACTTTCGGCACGTCTGACCAATTTCGCTGTTAAAATTATTTCAGTCGTAGGTGCTACGACAACGTTATCAAGAGGGGATATACTAGAATTACCATGCATGGATGATTTATACAGAAAACGTGTGGAAGGGGAGTTGAATTAAGCTGTAGATAATGCCATAGAGGCTTGCCTTGTTATATGGTGAATATTCGTCACACAAAAATAATTAGGAAAATTTACAAAACTGAAAAAAGATACGGTTGATTTTCGCAAAACTATACAATAAAAATGTAAAAGAAAATGAGTCGTGGTTGCCATAACAACGCAAACAGTTTTCCAAATATTGAGTATGTTTCGTGTAAACAATACTGTAAGTGAAGGCTATCTAAAACATCAGAATTTTTGGTGAACTCTAAGGAGCCTTCCTAATAAATAGAACTTCGGTTATGTGTATAGTCCAGATGGGCGACATTTAAGATACTTGCCCTCTTTAGGCAGTTTTGTATACCTTTTACTTCCATGAATAGCTACGCAGTGGTTGTGATACGTTTTTAAGAAATGACAAGGGTTCAAAAGTTTCTTATTCATTTTGTTCTTAAGAACCCAAAGAAGTCTGTTATCAATTCCATCAATGTTCATGTCCATTTTCATTATCTCTAAGACTTCGTCGCTAATAGCCTCTGTTAAATTCATGATGTACGTATCATGAGATCCAAAGTATCTTCTTTCACAGACTGCTCCATGACTCATATTGCATCTTTTCTCTTTTTTACCTGAGCGCGTTAAAACATAAGCAATGTTATGCTTTGTTAGAAAAGTTACATTTAGTTTTTCAAATCCTTCGCCAAGATAGACATCCATATTTGTTATAGCAATTACTTTATTTTGCAGTCTTTGGCTCACATACTTTAAGAAATGTCTATATGATGGCATTCCTTCGTAATAACAAATAACGAGCTTGTGCTTATTTCTTACCCCTAAGTGGTTTAAGCGCTTTTCAGCGGATCCTTGATTGACAAAAACGTGTACATTCTTGACGAAAGGGTGATTCAAATTTCTTTGAAGGGTTTCTTCGATTTCTTCCTGTCTTTCCTTTAAGCGACTTAGATTATTCTCACTTTGATTCCGCGACCATGGTGGTAGAAAGATTATGGGGTAATTTGTCACCAAGTGAAGTTGATTACTTTGAAACGATGTCTCCAAATTGATCTCTTTAAAGTCTGATACTGTATCGTCAGTCTCTGTAAGACTGATTTTGGTATTCTCCGTGACCATTTGTTTGTTTTGTTTGTGTCTGTTCAAGATAGTTATGCAGCCAATTGCAAATACAAAAATAATAAATGCTTTAACGAATGTTCTTGACATTATCTTCATAATATATTTCAGAATATTACCTTATTAAATAAATTGTTGATGTTGTCGCTCGTTAAACAGATTCTTGACTTTTATTTGCCACGTCAAACTTGCTTATTTCATTGTTGTTGTTGCGGCTCATGCTGGCAGCCACTGACCCGTATACTAATTACCTAGACGGAGCATCCACATTAAAATTACTGTATTTCATTAACGTGCAGCCTGGTATCAAAAACATGGATGCTGTCAAACCAAATATGGAAAATTTTGGGTAAAAATGTTAGCGGATAAGCGTGCATTAGCTGACAAAATAAAAAATTTTCAGCCCACCTGGATTTTCACTCTCCATTTATATTTTGTGGGTCGCCGCTGCATTTGTGCCAACCACTATGCTGCACTGAAAAAGTGTCCGTCCTGGTGACTTGCATCTGTTTGCCTTGTTCTAAATGGGTATTAGCCAGATATCTAAAATATAAATGCGGGATTTAACAATCTAAGATTGCTCTCTCCACTACCTAGCGGATGACAGTGGTGTGTACTATAGGATATTGACAAAAAGTCGTGATACTTAGGGCAATATTAACTCTTCGCTATTTCCTTCTTTCTCTCATTTCAAATTTAATGTGAAATAAAATAAAAAAATTGAAATCTTCATCATTCATGAGCAACAGGTGTCCGTGGGCGTTTCTTACATTGAGGAATTAAATGAACAAGTTCAAATATCAGGCCATGGACAAATTTCAAAATTGTGATTTTTTTATGCGCCATCGAACCAAAAAAATTTTTTAATCATCGTGTTGCTGTTGTAGTACTTAACAATTTGAAAATGTACGTCAATCGTATAACTTGCACATTAAAGAGAAAAATTGATTATTTTATTTTGAATATATGATTATAGAAAGGTGTTATAATGTTGTGTTTTTGCGTCTTAGCCAGTCAAAGCCAAGAGAATCTTATCTTCAACCAATTAGGTAGCGTCGGGGCGAAAGATCATTCATTACACTTGGTAAACAATGGCGAACAACAGAACTTGCTGAAGTTGCTCACTCGGATGGCAAAATTTTTGTGTTATGCGTGTCAAAATAGTGCTAACTCAAAATTAACATCATTTGCACTTGCTCCTTGGTGTATATTTATTTTTCACTGCTAAATGGAGAAAAGTTTCATGTATTTGATCGAAATGGCGCAGGAATCTGTGTCGAACTCCGGGGTAAATTGACGACCTTTACTATGACAATTTGCCTTTCGCTGAAAATGCTCGCTGTTCAGAGTGTTTTGTACAAACACCGCGGTACTCTGCAAATTTCATTGCATTTGTTAACGTCAATTTTTCATTGTCCAAATGCTGCGAAAAGAACAGATTAGGCAAATAAGAACGAGGGAAAGAAAAACAACACGATCAACATAGATAATTTATAGTTTTGGTGACTTGTAATTCAGTATATGTGAGATTATTTGGTACCAGTCGAATCTCAAAGCTACATTTCCTTTCAATTTGACTTTATTTATTTCAAATATTACTCAGACTAGTATGATTCTACGTTGCTCTTTTTTGGCTCGATAAGATAAGAAATGCATTTTGTATGAATTATTAGTGCAAAGTTTCCATGGGAACTTTGTAGTATTGTGGTGAGTAGCGAAAATTCACAAGAGTCAGTCAGTCAGTGAATCAGTCAGTGAATCAGTCAGTCAGTGAATCAGTCAGTGAATCAGTCAGTCAGTCAGTCAGTCAGTCAGTCAGTCATGTACGACTGTATGGCTTTGTCAATTTTTATGTACTCGCTATAAAAGTGCAAATTGGAAATAAATGCTCATTCACGAAAACTTGCCAAACACTGGACTTGTTCATCAACTGATGTAAATTGTACGACGTAAATATTTATTGAATATCGTAGCATTTTACTACTCGGTGCCTTATAATTTGATTAGGTGGAATTCGTCGTTAAAAAATATTGCAAACAAAGCATTTTGTTCTTCTCAACACATGAACTTCACATAAGATTCAGAACAATCAAAAGAATATGACATAACCAAAAGAAAGAGAGTATATTATAAGTGATTTCGTAATCTATATGTTGTATACTGCATAGTATATAAAAGAATTTGATGCATGAATGACGAATGTGTGATTCGGGCGTGCCAAATGTCCTTGTTATGTATCCGTTACCTAAGTGTGTATACAATTTAACGTTTATTTACGCAATCTTGTAGCAAGTTGTAGCTCTTGGTCAAAAAACAAACTACGTACCTCAATTTGAATTTTTGAAAATTCCGGAATTTTTGAAACGCCAAGGTTTGATACTAAGCTTTCTTGAAACTATAATTTGATTTTATTCAAATTATAATTTATTTGCCATGATTAAGAAGAGGTTTTCTAAGAAAAATTTGCACTATGCTTGAATCCCTATTTTTATCGATGTTGCTTCATACTATCTAGAGTGATTTGTCATTTCAATATTAAACTATAGTTTTAATACATGGTATATGAGGTGCAGTGTGTGTTTTCTTATGTTATGCCATTTTTGAGCTATGAGTTCATATTGCACTTTTGGATCTTTGCTATAGAAAATGCTTTTCATACATTAATAGCCCTTTGGAATTTATGGCAAACAATCTGGTATAAGCCGTAGATTAACACACCTTTACATCTCAACATGAGGTGCTCAGTTAGAAAAGGGGACAATATGTGAGATGGGTCAACATTTCATGTATGTGAAATACTCAGGTTTAATACCATTCCAGTCAAATTGTCAAAATAAAAAGCTTCATGGATCAGAAGACTCAAAATCACTGGTTATAGTAAACAGCTTGTTATGTAATCAATGTTAGTTTTCTCAAATCTTAAACAATATGTAGTATAACTGTCCAATGATTGAATGATCAATGATCATAAACTGAAAAGCCTCAAACATTTGTTTATGATAAAGTAAATAATAGTATGGCGCCTTATGGCTACAGATTTTTTGCCCATTGAAATATATTTGCAGGAATGTAGAATTTCGCTGCCATATAACGGCCACGATTCCCCAGGCACTAAAGAAATCATAGCTAAAAGTCCTTCGGCAACAACAATTTTAGAAGCATCAATCTGCCTACCATACGCCATATTGACATATATCGCATCACACACTCGCATAAATTGACTTTGATATATTACATTCATGCATACACTTCAGTTGTCCTTTACTTACGATTTTGGATGTAAATTTCCGCCGATAAAACTCAAAACAATGTTGGCTTTCTTTTGAACATCAATGACTGAAATGTCGCTCCCGAGATCGTCTTTGCCAAGTATTTACAATTTATCCATAAATTTTTTTAGCCTCTTGAAAAAATTCACAGTTTGGACAGCAGCACAGGGGCGGATCTAGGATTTTTCAAACATCAGTCATAAAACGTCGGAGATGCTCCGCACCTGGGGGGGTCTGAGGCATTCTCCCCTGAGAAATTTTGAATTTCAGAGCCTTGAAAATGCCATTTTCAGCGTATTAGAGCAATACAAAATGTATTTTGTGGGCATCGTTTTTGCGTAAAAACAACACATTTTGCTTACGTTTTTTTCAAAAACAAAATGAAGTGAACAATACTTGAATGTTTTGCCAAATATTTAGGCTCATTATCATGCCAAATATATGGCTCATTAGCATGTCTAGGAACGTAAAATTCATTTTACAATAATGCTATTCAAAAACAGATATAGTCTTTAAAAATTTCTACCAAGTTGTCAGGCATAGACCCCCCTAGAGACCCCATTCAAACCTCTATGTAATGAGTTAAGTTAGATATTTGGTACTACAAGTGACAGTTCATAGATATAGAAAAGCTCAGACTTCAAACCATGCAAGTTTATTGTAACCCTTTACCCATCTCCACCATTGAGTTCTATAATAACTGGAGGGGAAACGTCAACAAAATTTGTATAAAAAACTTGGCGGATTTTGGTGGTCAAAGTCAGCGGAGAGACGCGGGCTCATGAAATAAAATTTTTGTCGCCCACCCTGATTTGACCACCACGATTGCGAATATAGAAAATATCAAAACTATTTATTTTCCTAACATAAACACTTTTTTAAAATTTTATTTATTAAACCGCCAACTTCTGTGGTTTGCGGATGCTGAAATAGCGACAGAAAAGGGAACATTTCTTGACTCCGGTAAGTAGCACAGTATTAGTTTTACTATTGTGTTTTTAACACGATACTTGAAGAGTGTTTCTACTACTAAGTTTTAATTTAAAGTTATTTTGGTCCAGTCTTGTTTGTTCTTCACTTAATCGCTCGCCAGACGTGGCGAAGCTGTCAATTTTTATCGAGTTTTGCATCCATCTTCTATCATGATCAAGGCATCAAGCTAAACTCTCCTGATTTGAATTGAGTTTACCTCCCAAAATGGGGCATAATTTGTTCATGTTTTTTGAAAAGATGAAGGGAAAGTTTACAACAGAGTTGTGTTGAAATTGAATGCAGTGCCATGCAAAATTAATGAGAACTATGGTATATGTTGTTTAATAAAAATAACTGTTAAACTGTTTGCCTGCTCAATTTGACTGACTGTATGGTGTAGACAATTATAATGAGATTGGAAAGTTGGATTTATGCTAACAATTTTAAAGTACTACTTAGCGTTTCTGTAAATGAAGTATTTATTGTTATAGTAAACAGGTTAATACTTCAAAACCAAGATGAAAGTAGTGTGTTGAACAATGTGCTAAGACTTGTTTCTACCTTGAAATTTTTGTTCAACAGTAGCTTATGATTATATGATTAATATGCATGAAAAATTAAACATATCATTGTCTCATCTCATTAAATCCATAATTGGTATGATTCCAGGTGATCCACAAATTCACATCGGATGCATTGGTTACAATGAAGTTGAATGTAGAGGAAGCAAAAATAGATGGCAAAGAAATTCTTTGTGTCTTATGAAGAATTAGTAGAAATCAATAAAAAGAATTCTTTAAACAAATTGTAAACAAATTTAAATTTGCTCATGGTCAAGCAACCTAGTCAAAGAAGCAAAGTCTGTCTTCAACTTGCGACCTTTCCAATTATTTAGTTTCTTTGTACAAAATACTATTTTTGAGAAACTTGATTTGTAAGT